AATTATTTGATTATGATCCTCCTCATTAATAGGTCCAGCTGTTAAGATTGCAAACCGTGATTGCGTAATTTCCTCCTTATCACCATGATTATCTCCATGATTATCGCTGGTCATAACTCCCTTATTACCATGATTACCATGATTATCGCTGGTCATAACTCCCTTATTACCATGATTACCATGATTATCGCTGGTCATAACTCTCTTATCACCATGATTATCTCCATGATTATCGCTAGTCATAACTCCCTTATCATTATTCCTTTGTAACGTTTTTGAACCAGCGCCTGGCTGGACTAGTTGCTTTTTCAATAACTCAATCACGATTGACCGAGAATAACGGAAAATGACTGTTACACGTAAGATTCTTTCATTTTTAAATAATTGGATTTTAAATTTTGTGCAAATTTTAAAAAATATATTAAATATTATAATTGAAAGTTGTAATTTTATTTCATTAAATATTTTTTATTTCTTTTTTTGTTTTATTTAATAGAGATGTCAAAAAAATAAAGATAACATTCAAAAATATTTAATAATTTCTTAATTTTAAAAATAAAGATAAAGGAGTAAGTAATACGTCATGTTTGTTTACATCAGTGTTTAAAAATCCGGCCCGGTCATCGACCCGGTCGAGGTCAGGGGTCACTATGCTGACCCGGTTTTATATATTAAAAAAATATAAATATATGTATCCTATATGAAAATAATAAAAAATAAATCACCAATCATCAAATATTCAAAATATATTTAACATAATTCACCTATTACAACTACAAGTCAATATTACACAACCTAATTAAAGTATCAAGATACTAAAGTACAAAACTCATATTCTAATGATACCAAAGTATCAAGATACCACAAGTCTAAGTCGCTGGGAGAGAAGAGAATGATTAGAAATAGGTTTGCAAGCATTTTTATTTTATTTTTTTTTAATAAAATAACATTGTTTCATGGAATTTTTTTAAAAAAATATATATACAATGACCCTGTTGACCTAGGAGTCACTAAAACCCGGCCGGGTTTTGGGAGTCAGAGGGATCGATGTGTATATAAGGTCCAACTTGTGACCTCAACCCTCAAAAGAAAGTAGTCAGGATTGACTCGGATGAACCTGAAACTGGACGGAGTTTCAAAACAATGATTTACATAATTAAAGATAATTATCCAATAGGGGATAATTAAAGCCAACCATGCATGATGATGAATCGATGATTACTTGGGATGGGAGTGGGAAGCGTAACAGGGAGGAAGAGGAATCTCTCCCAGTTAGCCATCACTATTACTTGCTGGACCACATTATGTCATACTCATAACACCGCATGTACTCATGCATAACGCTAGGGTCCAATTGGATTGCAACTACACGATGCATTACTATGCATTTGTGATTTGTCCACAGTTCAAAAAACCATTTTTCAGACTTTCAGTGCTCTTTATTTCTTCTTGGTTCTATTTGTCAGGTAACCGTTGGAGTGTAATGTTCTAAAATTTTCACAACTATTAAATTAAATAGTTCTTTTTTAATTTTTTTTTATATAATACATACTGTTAATGAATTTTTCATTGTTTTTAAAAAGTATGTCATTTTTTAATTTTAGATATTAAATAGCATTATGTAAATAAAATCTGTTTTAACTATAATCAAGAAAACGTTACATGAATTTGTGTAATGTTAGAAGAATTTGCTTAATTATAATATTAAACAAGGAATCATCTGACAGAGTAATAATAATATAGGATAAGATTGAAATGGATGAATCTGACAATCTGTTACGTTTTTAACAGGTGCATGCATCTGTGCCTAAAACAATGACAGAGCTTTGAAGTAGATTCTAGTTCTTGCAACAAAAGTAAATTGAAATAGACCACTAGCTCATCAATTAAACAGTGAATATTTTAGCTCATTTGGATTCATATGTTACATCAATGGTGGCCAAAATGAAATTTCCCAACATCCATTGAGGTGGGGTGTGTACTGTGTAGTATGCAATGCAATTATTATGCTGAAGTTGCAACTTCCAACCATATCCAAGTTGGAAAATTTGGGAAAGTGACGTTACAAGATTCTCTTTTTAATCAATTCGAAGTGCAATTATGTAACCGACGGAATCAAACGATGTTCTCTCACTAAAATTCAAAATATATAAACTTATTTAAATATTAAGAAATAAATAAAATTAAATAAATGCAATTAACGGGAAAGATAATCGCCCCGACATCATGGATTAATTACACGTAGTAATTATTAATTAATACCTATGAGAAGCTTTCAGCATCTTAACACGAACGCCCAATGATATCTTTCTTCACAGATTCTAATATTGATCACACAAATAATCTTTTCAGTTGTATTTTTTTCTTTTGAGTAAATATCATTTTTGGTCCTGGAAATATTTACCAAATTCTTTTTAGTTCCTGGAAATAAAAAAGGATCAAATTGGTCCTTAAAATTATAAAAAAAAGGTCACATTAGTCCTTATATCAACTCATTCGTCACTTACGTGGCCCTTTTTGCATACTGTTAGGGACCAATTTGGTTCTTTTTTATTGCCAGGGACTAAAAAGGATTTCGTGGATATAGCCAGGGACCAAAAAAAGTGTTTATTTTTTTTTTTTTTAAATAAAGTATTAAGAACGGGGAAGGTCTACGAAGCACCGACACTTCAAAATCTTTGACGTGTCGTGTCCGACATTTCTCGACACTCATCGACACTCTGACACTTCCCGACACTCAAATACTTGTTGCAAAGACTCAAAAAAAGTTCAAAGGTTACTTTGCGATGCATTTTGAGTTTCAATTATTAGATTTGTTGGATCAGAATTACTATTTTATTGAGTTTAATATAAACATTTGGAATATCTTATGTTTCTTTGCAAAATTGATGAGTATTATAAGTTTAGCTTTATTTTTTGTTAAATTATTGAATATTAAATTTAATATACACTACATAAATTAAAAATAGGGAAAAGTTCACCAATGCCCATGTGGTTTGCTTCAGAATCACCTATGCCCCTGTGGTTTTTTTTCTATCACATATGCCCCTGTGGTTTTTTATTTTTTACAAAGCACATGGGCATGTGTGATAAAAAAAACCACAGGGACATAGGTGATTCTGAAGCAAACCACAGGGGCATTGGTGAACTTTTTCCTTAAAAATATTATATAATATCAAAACGTGTCCTAACGTGTCAAAATTTAACATTTTTTAGAATTAACGTGTCAGAATGTCTTGCTGTGTCGTACCCCGTGTCCCGTGTCGGTGCTACATAGGGGAAGGTTATACTTATAACCTATTTTCGTTTACAACTTCTTACAACCATATCTTAACCGTTGATTTCCGTCAATCAACGATTAAGATTTTTGCAAATCAAATTTATTAATTAATTATTAATTCACAATAAATGACAACCGTAGATTGTCGAAAATCAACGGTTAAGATATGGTTGTAAAAAGTTGTAAACGAAAATAGGTTGTAAGTATAATCTTCTCCGTTAAGAATAGTTGTTTATAATAATTTATTATTTAAATACTTTTATTGCAAAATCATAAAGAATTAATTATTTTATGAATTAGTTTATATTTAAATTTTTTTACATATTGTATCCTTTTATTTTATTTTATTTTGCTAAATATTAATTACTGTTTGAATCCAAATTCAAACAAATCAATTAATTCGATTTCGGATTTAAATTTCTCCATCATTCTTAAAGATTGCGACTCTAAAAAATTGAACACATTTTCTTGTAAAGTTAAATCTTGAAATCTAGCTAAAACACCACTAGATGAACAATTCGTAAGTGTACCCTTTTATTTTTAACTTTTTGGTAAAATACACCTAACCTTTAATGAATACCAACAAAAACTAAGCTCATTGCCTCTTTTCTTCAATCCCCCAATGGCATCAACACTCGTTGATTTGGAGAACGATACCAGCCATAATAAAAGAAAATTTATACAAATAAGCTATTTATTGCATTCCTCCAATTTCATAAATTTCTTTTGGAAAATATATTTTTCTCAGTATCAAATCTAAAAAAATAAAATAAAAAAAACTTAAAAGTCATCTAATAAAAAAATGAATTAAATTGATTTTCAATTTTGATTCATTAAAAATCAGTCCAAAAGATTATTATTATGTGTATAAATATTTTTTTTCTAAAAATCACCATATTATTCGCACATACATAAAGAAAATTACATTTTACATATATCATAGAATTGACAATTAATTTAAGCGTATATTTGTTGTATTGGAAATTTGGAATATTTGGCTATTAATTTGAGATTGAAATTTGTTTATTTTCCTTTCAAAAAAAATTTTAAAAAAATATTTGTGTATTTTACTGCTTATTTTTCAAATGATTATCATCCTATGTTACAAATTTATGTATCATTTTAATAAATGTTTGGTTATTTGTTATGTACATTTGTTATTTATTGGTTAAGTCGACCGCTACATTGTATAAATGGGTTGAGTTTTCTATTTTGGGCCACGAGAAAAAATATTGAATTTAGGCATACCTTTAAAAAAATTATGATATATATGGGGGGAAAATTATCAAATTCAAATTCATTTAAATCAGATAATTTTACAAATTGAACCAAATCAACGAATTGAACCAATGGCATTTTTCTCTCTTAAAACGGATCCACAAACACACCTTATACTTGAAAAAAAATCAAAATGAGAAAATCAAAAGGTAACATAACAAGTAACAACATACCCTAATAGGGGAGATGAAATTAAAAGATATCCTAGCTAGTGGCCTTACATTTATTGAACAAGATCAAAATTTTGAAAATAAGAATAAAATAAGAGATTAATGTTTCTCATGTTATAAAAGATAAAATTATTTCTTATACATATAAAAATAAATGGAGTCTGTGTGAAGAGTAGAAAGAGAAAGAAAAATATGAGTGTCACGCATTTTTTATACGTAAACAAAATAAAAGTATCCCTTGCTAAATATTAATCTCATAATACAATGGTGCATTATGGTTGGGTTGAAGTGTAAGCAGTGCTGCGAAAAGTTTTGATGGTACATGCATTAAGAATTTTGAGGAGGACAGGATTGTGAGTGCACCTCGGGGTCTTGAACTGGCTCAAAGCTGCTCCATTTGATACAAAATAGTCCAAAATCTTCTTGAAAGTTCCTCTCTCTAAAATGCGAAGCTCTAATGGACCTATTGAACTGGTTTTTCTTGAGACCACGTAACCATGATCAACAAAAGCTGCATCCATTTCTCTGCAACACTCGTTAAGTACATTATCCTCTGCCTCCCCTTTGATCTCCCAGAAAATGACATAGCACCCTGGTTGATTAGACACATCCGCATAGCTAGTAAAATCAACTAGCTCAGCTTGGGGGGTCTTGTTTAGTAACTGTGACCCCTTCTCTACCACTATTTGAAGGTCCTTCTCTGTATTCTTGTCTATATTTATTGTTAGAATTAGTTTTCTTCTGCATATAAAGTTCAATTTTGGGGTCCCATTGTGAAAACCAGCCACTTCCACCACATCTCCTAATCTGAACCTATATAGCCCTGAAAGTATAAATGTTCATATATTTTCAGTTTATAAGATTATATTGACAATTTTTTTTTTTTTTTTATAAATTACATTATATTTTATCGGTAATATTTTATTCAAGAATATATTACTAATCAAACATAATATAATTTATAAATAAAAAAATTTATAAATATAATATTTTCTTTTTCAGTTTGTTAGAAAATAAATAAATATAGAGTAAACATCATTTTTGGTCCCCGGCAATATCTACGAAATCCTTTTTAGTCCCTGGCAATAAAAAAGGACCAAATTGGTCCCTAACAGTATGTAAAAAGGGCCACGTTAGTGACGGAGGAGTTGACATAAGGACTAACATGGCCCTTTTTTCATAATTTCAGAGACCAATTTGGTCCTTTTTTATTGTCAGGGACTAAAAAAGATTTCGTAGATATTGACAGGAACCAAAAAAAATGTTTACTCGTAAATATATACAGATAAAGGGTCATAATTTGGATTTTGAAATTTTGAAAATGACCATTTCTGATAAAGTCACGGTAAATCCTTGTCAGAAAAGACTGAAGTGACAGGTAAATAAAATCAATGAAAATAACGTAAAGGCATAGGTCACGACATACATCTACACTTGTATGGAATCAGTAAATATTCTTTTCGGTTTTCGGCAAATTTTATAATATCTACTTTAGTTTCAAATAAATGAAAAGATTATGTTGTGGTTCTTAAAAAATGGAAGTGGATCTATTTTAATCTTTTGAGGGATTAATATGGATTATTTTTTAATTTATGAGAAATCACAATTTTAACTAAATAGGTTCATTTTAAATTTTTTAGTAACCATAAATAGCCTTTTTATTTGCTATAGACTATAGCGCATCGTGAAATTTGCTAAAGACCAAAAAATATATTTAATCGTTGTGAAACTTTGTAGAAAATGAACATTTGTCAAAAAAAAAAAAAAAGAAAAAAAAGAAAAGAATGAATAATTACCGGTGAAAGTTGTGAGGACTATTTCATATTCTTGTCCAACTTTAACCTGGGATAGTGGGATTGGCTTGTCTTCCATGAAATCATCAGTAACTGAAATGCAATCTTGTTTCTGTCTGTGAAGTGGTATGAACTCAAAGTAAGAGAAAGTGGGAACTACAGCAAATGTTACTTCCTCCGGGGGCAAACTAGGATCCACATTAACCCCTATCCAGCTCTCACTTGAGCCATAATCAGCACTAACTAAAGGCAACCCATTTGCATAATGCCTAAGCTTTTTTAAGTATGGTTGCATAGAACCTGTCATTATGGAACATATGTACTTAGCATTTGGCCAAAGTTTGGGAATCAAACCAAACCAACCCACCAGTTCTAGCTCCTGGCAAGCTGTTTCTAATTTTGAAGCCAAAGATGGGTTTGAAGAGATTACACCCAAAACAGCATCTCTCATTTTGGGTAGTTTGATTATTCTTGAATTCAGAGTACCATCTCTAATGTCATTGCAGATGTCTCTCCAAAGCTCTTCAAAACTGCAAAACGCTTGCACTATGCCATAGACAAAAGCTGAGGAAATAAACTCTACGTGATCAGAGAAGAAGAGACCAAGGAGAAGGTGACAGTACGTGGATTGTTTATAGTCCCCACCACAAATAACATCATATGGACTACAAGTAAATGACTTTGTTTTCTCCTGTTTTATTTTGAATTCTTCACTTGCGTAGTAATGTGTTGTGGCTGTTCCTACTGCTATGCCTCCTTTTGTTTTGAACTGATTGCTGCTGTATATGAAATCAAGAATCCTACCTCCTTCCCTTGTTGGATAAATCCTATAAACAGTGAAAAGAAGAATGAGAACTTCAAAAAATAATTGTTTATCTAGTAGCTAGGTCATCATGATTCATGAAAAAAAAAGGAACCCACAAGTTTTATGAAATTTGAGAGACACACCTTGATCTATAGGCTGCTGCTAAAGTGAATGTTTGAAGGGTAGTTTGTGCACTATGGTTTGTAAAGGGTACGAACTTTTGCCTTCCTTCTGTGGTTCCAGAACTGCACAACCACCACCACACGATTTACTTTTTTTTTATTTTTTTAGTAACAAAAAAAGTTTATCAGAAAGTGGAGGGAGAGATCTGCCATGCTAGGAAAGAAAAACCAATATTACATCTTAATTTCTATAATCAATATGCATGAAAAGGCTACCATGGTTAATTACTTGAGCTATTGTCAATTGATATGGTTACTTTACTTGCACTTAAAAACCATGAATTAAGGATAAGGGGAGCTAGAGGAAAAAATCTATAATACTACAGTTGTATGTACAACCCAGTGCTCCTCTCATCAGCTAACATGTTTCCTTGAAAAAAAGAAAAAGAAAAAACAACAACAATAACTTTAATATTATAATTATTGTATTCTTCCGAATACATAATTTATAATTTGATTTTAAACTACCCTTGGCTTGATACGAGGATAGTATAGAACATGCTCTCGAGCTAGAGAAAGAGACAGGGAGAACAAAAAGGAGAGATAGCCATATATGGCCTCTATTTAATATTCTATATTCTGATTCCTATCAATGTAAACATAGCCATGAAATTAAAGAAAATTCAACACTGCAATGAATCCCATTTATCCCCCTAAAAAAGGAAGGAAGATATGAAAGGAAATTAATGACACTTAAAAAAGGTAATAATAATACCTTAAGGAAAGAGTGGTTATGGGTTGTTGAGTGAGTATAGGACCTGTGTTTCCATCTGCAATTTTTTGGATATATGGCTCAAAGTCTGCATGTGAGGCAAGGGGAACCAAAGAAGTGAAAAGAGATTCCAATGCACATGCATCATCCATCTCTGGGATATTGTAGTTTCCCAACCATTTCTTCAGATACTCCACACCATAGTTCTGCTTCAGAATCTGGCATAGCATCTGAGTCTGAACTGAACCAGCGTCCTTGGATACATCTTCAAACCAGGTAACGATATCAGAACCACTGTTGCAATTGCTATTGGTGCTGGTATTATTATTATAACTGAGACTGAGACTTGGTTCCATTGAAGTATAGTGAGTTAGTGCTGAGGGCATGAAGAAGTGTTTGCAGATAAAAATAATTCAGTTTGGTGGGTGTCAGTTTCTATAAGGCAATTAGCTACAAAAAAGGCCAATATAGGAAGTGACCCCACCATTGAGATATCCCTTTTTTTTTTATTTTGGCTATCCATCAAGTAATGTTTTGTATTCAAACGGCTAAACAAAACCTAATATTGTAGAATAAGAATAGTACGATAAGTTATAGACCACAAGTAATGGCCTTATCGTTATAAGGGGGGGAGAGAGAGAATGAGAGATTCTTCAATGTCATGTAAGGATGACATGGGGACTATCAGGGACCAAAGCTAGCAGTCATGACAGCTGAACGCTTTCCCTCCAAATTTATTATCAGCCATCGTTTGAAAATGAAAGCATACTTAATTTTATCTTGTAGAATCTTATATGTGGCCGTAAGAATAACAAATGTTGTATTAAATATTGATTATTGATTTGTGTGCATTTAACTATTCAAATATTTAATAAATTAGAACACTTAGATATAAATAGGATCAACGATCAAGGTTGAAAGTGTAATTTATACCATTTTAAAATGATCCTAACCTCTTGTAGATATATATGGGTTCATCTGGTATTCAGTCACTCGATATAAGATTTTGTCCAATTATCGTATTATAACTATGTACTCCGGAGAATATATAGTTATAATATTAAAGTTGTATTTTTTTTTTCACTTTTCACGTTAGCAAACAAGTTTATGAAGAGAGAGAAAAAGTAAACCTTTAACATTATAACTATGTATTTCTCGAAGTAAATAATTATAATACAGTGACTGGACAAAATATTATATTCAGTGACATCACACCCAAAATATATATTTGGGGTTTACATTTCTCCAGTTGTTTGTAGGGGTGTTCATCAATCGATCAAAACCGATTCAAACCGCGGTGACCGAACTGAAAAACTGAAAACCGAATTAACCGAAAACTTAAAAATAAAAAATCGAGAAAAAAATCGCAAAACTTAATTGGATTGGATCGATTTTTGGATGGGTTAGAGAAAACCAATCCAATAATCCCCAACCTTACCATCTATTTACTTGGGTCTTTCCTTAATCATAGCCCAAAAATCATATAGCAAAATTCTAAATCTACTACCCATTAACCCATCATGTTGGAGGAGAAAGTGGGTTGTGCTTGATCTATGTTATGCTTCTTCTTCTTTTTGGTAAGATACATAATATATTTTTATTACATGGATTATTTTTGTGCAGCAGCTCCTCTATAAGATGAAATTTGGGTTATTTCGTATATCAGGCAACCATATTATAAATCTTTGGTTGAAAGTAAAAGATGATAATTTAACTTTTTGTTGTACAATGCTTCTAGATTGCACAATAATCAGCTTACAAACTTTACAAAGCCGATACAAACAAAAGATATATTATTTGCATAATAATCATCATACAAATCTTAGGCTTTTCAAAAAATCGAAAAACAGATCCAATCCAAACCGAATAAAATTGGATCACATTTGAAAAAAAAATCAAAAACGAATAAATGATTATATGATTAAACTGAAGGGATTGGATCAGATGATTTTTATTTTCAAAACCGATCCAATCCAGACCGTGAACACCCCTAGTTGTTTGATGTCCAGCAGTCAATTATCTACCACATATATAAGTGGTGACAATATTAAATGTAGAGAATCATAACCACATAAAAAGTAAAAGCAATAAATATGAAAATCATAACCATACATTTGTCATTACTAGAGTAAATAAGCAGGAGAAAATATTTTACTTATTTATATACATATATATATATATATATATATATATATAAAAGATAGGATCAGCTTATATCGAAGTAAGAATGATAAATCTTACACCAAATTTTAACAATTAATATTCGTGAATCTAACAGTTATAATTTATTGAAAATTAATGATTAATTAATAAGTATGACCCAATAAATTATAACCGTTAGATTCACGAAAATCATCTACTGAGATTTGGCGTAAGACTTATAACCGTTGATTGACGGAAATCAACGATTACGATATAAAATGATTCAAAGTTATATCCTTTAAAAGGACAAACATTTTTCCACAGACATAGACACACAAATATATATATAAATATGTGTGTGTGTGTGTGATTTTAATATTTCTCATATTATAGAAGATAATTTTATCTCTTACAAATATATAAAAGCGTGTGCGGCCCACGTTTTCTTTTTTTCTCTATCCTTATCACATGGGAGCCATAAAAATTTATGTGCGTAGAAGATAAAATTATTTCCTACAACGTAATAAATATATATATATATATATATATATATATATATATATATATATATCCCCAACTTCTCATTTCAAAGGAGAAGATATTTTCTGTAGTAACCAAAAATAACTATGTGACTATGTCTTACCGGTAAGACAAAGTTATAATATTAAAGTTTTTTTTCTCTCTCCGCCACGTCAGCCGACAACCTTTTGAGGAGAGAGAAAAAATAGCTTTTAAAATTTCAACTACGTCTTACCGGTAAGACATAGTTGTTTTTGGTTGCTGTAAAAAATATCTTCTTTGAAAGCGTCAGGACATTTTCATATATATATATATATATATATATATATATATATATATATATATATATATATAGGAAAAAATATTTCTACGTCACTTTAGATAAGGTTATCTACAACTACCATTTATAACTATGTTCTCCCGGGAGAACATAGTTATAAATGATAGCTGTAGATAATCTTATCTAAAGTGGCTGCAGAAATAGTTATCCCATATATATATATATATATATATATATGGGAAATATAACTACTATGTTGTAGGAATGAGATTTATGTCCTGCAATCTGTTTTTAACTATATACTCCGGGGAGTACATATTTATAATATTAAAGTTTCATTTTTTGTTGAGGTAGAGGAGAGAGAAAAAGTAACTTTAATATTATCACTATGTACTCCCCGGAGTACATAGTTAAAAACAGGTTGTACGACAAAAAGGATGTATTGTTATAGGACATTCGACGGACCTTATATATATATATATATATATATATATATATATATATATATATATATATATATATATATATATATATATATATATATATCTGTGTGTGTGTGTGTGCTTATCATTTTTCAAGTTGTTTGAGATAACTTTATCTCCAGTCACTGAATCATAACCGTACAAAGATAGATCAACGATAATAAAAGAATAGAGAAAGAAAGGGAATCATAACCATTCAGAGGTAAATCAATTAATATAAAGAAATAAATAAATAAAACGTCGTAGTTTTTGGATAGACAGATATAAATATATCTCAAGCAACTTGAGAAATATTTATATTTATATATATATATATGTAGGGAAAAACAATTCTCAAGCTGCTGGAGATAAATTTATCTCCGGCCACCCCAAAACTACATCGTTTTGATTATTTATTTCCTTATATGTATTGATTCACCTTTGAATAGTTATGATTCTCCTTTTCTCTCTCTTCCTTTATCACCATTGATCCATCTTTGCACGGTTATGATTTTGTAACCGGAGATAACTTTATCTCCGGTAGCTTGAGAAATGATAAGCCCATATATATATATATATATATATATATATATATATATATATGACAGGATCCTTTGACACCAATGTCGAACTTTGAAATTTGACACCAAATCCTAACACGAAATTTTCGCCAATTAACGATTATCATTTATTGAGAATTAATAATTAATTAATGAGTACAATTTTCAATAAATGATAACCGTTGATTGGCGAAAATCAAATGTTAGGATTTATTGTTAAATTTTAAATTTGACACCGGTGTTAAATGATCCTATATATATGGGGAAGGATCTGTTTACAAACTTTTTTTATAAATTACACCATCTTCTCCAGTGAGACGATCGTGTAACCTAGTGTTCTCGCGGGAGAAGATTGTGTAGTTTGTTAGAGTTTGTAAACAAAAAAGTTTGTAAATATAACCTGCCTATATATATATATATGTGTGTGTGAGAAACGTTATACTTGCAGCCTATTTTCATTTACAACATCTTACAATCATATCTTAACTGTTGACTTCAGTCAATCAACAATTACCATTTATTGAGAATTAATAATTAAATAATGAGTTTGATTTGCAAAATTGATAACCGTTGATTGGCAGAATTAACCGTCAATCAACCGTTGATTTGCATAAATGCTATTATTTTTTTAAATCAAACTCATTATTTAATTATTAATTCGCAATAAATGATAACTGTTGATTGACGGAAATCAACGGTTAAGATATGATTGTAAGATGTTATAAACGAAATAGGTTGTAAGTATAACATCTATATATATATATATATATATATATATATATATATATATATATATGGGATAAGTTATTCTACCTACCATTTTTTCTGCCTACCACCCTCCAACACCGTTAGATCAGAATCTTAACTAACATTTTTCTTTCTCTCTCTTCTTGAGATTCTGATCTAACGGTGTTGGAGGGTGGTATGCAGAAAAAATGGTAGGTAGAATAACTTATCCCTATATATATATTCCATTTTCCTCCTGTTGTTGGAAAAAAGTTATCTCTAGTTAGGGGTGTTCATCAACCAATCCAAATCGATTCAAACCGCGGTGACCGAACCGAAAAATCGATAACCGAATAAACCGAAAATCGAAAAAAAAACCGCAAATTTTAATTGGATTGGATTGGTTTTCGAATGGATTAATGAAAATCGATCTAATCCAAACCGATCCAATATATTAATTCCCCTCTACCTACCTGGGTCTTTCTCCAATCATAACCCAAAATTTTTTAAACCCAAGACCCATTAACCATCAACTAAACCCAAGAAAAAATCGAGTCACATCCCACCAACAAAATTTTATCTGTGTAGAGCTTCGTATCTCATTGCCCAACAAAATAATTATATTATCGTTTACTGATGCTTTTATATTTCAAAAAATAAATAAATTTACAAAGCCAATATATACCAAAGATGTTATTTGCACAATAATCATGAAACTAATTTTAGGATTTTAAAAAAACCGAAAACTGATCCAATCCAAACCGAAAAAAATTGGATAGGATCGGATCAGATTTGAAAAAAAAATCAAACCGAATGAATGATTACATGATTAAACCGAAGGGATTGGATCAGATGATTTTTGCTTCCAAAATCGATCTAATCCTGATCGCGAACACCCCTATAACTATGTACTACGGGTAATACATAATTATAAAATTATTTTCTCTCTCTCAGTCACGTCAGTCGACAATGTCTGAGGGGAGAGAAAAATAAAGTAACTTTAATATTATAACTATGTAGTATTTGTAGTACATAGTTTTTTTTTTGGGAAATTTTTTTTCGAGCAATATAAGAAAAGGATTTCTTTTATATATATATATATATATATATATATATATATATATATATATATAATTTTGTATCAGAAAATTATAGACAAATTTGAGTTTATTAAAATGTTTCAAACAAATTTTAATTACTGTTTAGCAACTTGAAAAAAAATATATTAGAAAAATTGGTTTTGTAGACCAGAATGTCCCCAAATCCATTCAGTCTTATTTCAGCTTTATATGTAGGTTGCACTTTTCAACTTCGTTTCTAATTGTAATTATCATATGAAAACATGATCAAGCAAAAGTTATCAAACTTCCTTGTAGCTGACGTGGGTTAAGCAAGCTAGATTGGGTGAGGGAATCGTCGTTATTATGAGTGTGGTCGTTATCAATGTTGTTATCGATTGTGAACATAAGCCGATATTATTGAGAATCATGTTTAGCACTCTTCTTAATTAATGCTTTAAAAATTGTGTTATTTGGTTACATCAAATCGGGGGATCGAATGTATAACAGAATTTGAAGATGCATTGTTATTAACCCAGCAAAAAAAATAAGATTCATAGAATAAGAACACCTGTGAATTCATGAGATTCTACCGAGCTATAAATAATTTATTAATAGTTAAATTTATTTATGAGATTAATATTTCTCATGTTATGAAAGATAATTTTATTTCCTATAAATATATAAAAATTTATGAGATTTATATTTTCTTTTTCTATCTATTCTCTTTATGTGGTATCATATTAGCACTACACACTTTTATATGTATATACTACAATATTAAAAATATTAATCCATTTATTTATGAGTTTTATTTATCTTATGCGCTCTACACATTTTTACCAATTTTCGTGTTTTTTTTTTCAAGTAGAATAAATAAATCCCACCATTTATTTTTTGTGTAACAGATAAAATTTACGTAATAGAATTAAAACCCTTCATTTTTTATTTTTTTGTATATAGAATTAAAACCCTTCATTTATCATACTAAACTCAACCTACCATGTTGGAGTACTACATCATAATTGAAAGCATGCTGTTTCCCGTCTGGCAGGACCGCTTAAATTGCTGTGTGTTGGTTTGACATCAGTTTTGACATTGCATGCGGCCTACATGTACAGTACAACACTGTAACACCGTACTGTACTAGAGCTCCAGGCTCTTCTTTTTCTATCTTTATTTTTTTTTCTTTCTATTTTCCTTTATTTAAAGCAAAAGAAAAATTTACTTTAAAAAAACAAAGAAAATAAAATGAAACATGTCAAGGAAGATGAAAGGAGAATCCTATGTAAAGAAAGTACAAGAAGATTTCTATCTTAATTCATGTAAGCTTTTTTTACCCTCGCCTTATACATGCCTTGAGAATTCAAGGCCTCGCATTTAATTAACTTGATAGGAATTACTTGTCGAAATACTCAAAATCATTTATTTTCATATTCAAAACTTACTTGAGAGTAAGGTATATGAACTGAATTATGCAACAATAGAATGAATAGAATGAATGAACATTTTTTTTTTTATTGGTTCAATAGAACGGTGGTTGTGCATGCATGCATGCACTGAATTGTGGGGCCAGGGCATCATTGCTCTGGATTAGAATTACTGCATGCTTATTTTAGTTTTTCTTTTAAAAAGAGAATTACAACCAGGAATTCATCGCACCATGTACAATTAAACTTCACTAGACCTTATCTCTATAAATGAGATACAAGTGGTGGACCACGATTGCACAAATTGCCCACATGTACATGATTATGATTGCAAGAGGGGCTATTGACTTATATAAAGAAAATGCATTGTCACTACAAAAAAATCGGTGTTTAGCCACGTATAGAAACGTGGCTCATTGGCGCAAAAAATGTGGCCAAATAAAGCAACCACACTTTTAATGAATGTGGCTAATCATGGCGTTGCAAAATTTTAGCTACATTTTTTGTTTTATATAGCCACACTCTCTGTGAATGTGGTAGCATTTATTTCGCCACGTTTATTATTATTTAGCCACTTGAAGGGCCGTAGCTAATTACTATAAAAAATTCATATCCTTATTTAGGCACATCCTAACCGTGGCTAATATACAGTTATTTTTTTAAAAAAAATTAATAGCCAAACCTGGCTATTTTTTTAATTTGCTAATATTGTTCAATTGTGAACCTGGTAAAACCAAATCTCAAATTGAATTTTCATGCAATCAATTTTCTCAAAAATATAAATAAGATACATAAATTTTACTTTATTATAATCTAAATAAATTGGCCTTCAAACTAAATCTTCTAATATTAACCTGGCTATTTTTAGAATATTATAAAAGTCAAATTTAAGATCTTGCTAAATAAACTGAATCGTGTGCCTTCAATTTCCTTCCTCTATTATCTGAATACTATAATTAAACTCATAGATTAGTTGTCTCAAATCTGCATGCTAAATAAAACCATAAAAATGAAACAAAAATTTTTTAATTAAAAATTGAGATATTTACCGTAGCAATGCATTACTAACTCATCACAAGCATACTATGCAATGAATAGTATTTCCTATCTTATGAGTCATCACAGTGACAGTCTGACAAACACTAAGTTGAAAACAAAATATTCATAGTTGGCATACATAATCAGATTTTCCTAATATACTAGGACAATTGCCTGGTTAAAGTAGAGATAAACTAGCTTATCTACCAACTGCCACTACAGGTTGAAAAGGATTGAGAAGAATAGCACTTTGTACAATAGCTCCACTTCTTCAGAAGCCTCGTGTAAATAATCAAGTTGAATTGGCAAGAAGATAATTTTAGATGGCCATGAATTAGCATACGAAAAAAAAAAAATTGTCCCGCTCTTATTCCACATATCAAATATAAAGAGTTCCATGTTGCAAGAAAAATCTATGTACAATGAACCCACTTACTGAATATCAAGGGCCTATATCCTGATGGTTTGAATACAAACCGGACTGAGAATGCATCAGTTCCCTATACAAGAAGAATTTATAACAAGTTAGGAAAAAGAAAGCTTAATTGATGAACCAACAGTTTCTAATTTATCTGAGAAGAGCTAGCACAAAGAAAATGTATAGTTATGTTGTCTTAAGAGAAGTTCCCACGACACTACTATCAAGAAAATTTAACTTTGCTTGACAAATTCACAGATTATGCAGTATGAACTAAAAACCATGATAAAATTATTGGAGTGATACACAAATTTAAGAAACTTTACTAGGAGTAACTCTTTCTCCAGAAATATTAAAGGAGCACACAAACATAAACAAACTTTATGTTAGTATTACAGAGAGACTTCCTTATCAAACTTTATGCTATCAGGCAAGCCAAGCATATCAACCTTGTCCAATTATCCCTTGGAAAACCGAGAATACACTCTTCTTCTGAGTCCATATCTCTTCCTCTTCCGAAACTTCTTCTTGGAGGAACTCAACCTCCGTCCCACACACCCTTGAGTCGTTGACACACATGCCCCCATAACATAAATATCTCTGCCTCAGGTCACACTGATATACACAAGAACATATAGAGGTTGGTTAAACAAAAGACAAGAACATTAAAAAAGAAAAAAGACACAAACCTTCTAACAACCTTTTGTTTAAATTGTTGAAGTTTGTAGAAAGAAGTTCAAATTTTTTTTGCACCCATCATAATGAAGTCCATTAATAACATAATAAATATTTTGAATAAACTTTCGTAACATAACTTGGAACAAAAAAATAAAATTACATCTATTTATTATTCCTCGAAAAACATGTACCCATAAAACAAAATTTGATGAAATTTTGAACTTTATCTCCTTTTGTTCAATTAAAGAAAAAACATCATTTTCAGGTAGTTGTTAAATTTTGTATTTATTAATTATTGTGTTTTTATTGCAGCTGTTACTGATATCGACACTAGTGGCATCCAAGCCTTTGAAGAGTTACACAGAAGTCTTACGAAGAGAAGTGTTGAGGTAACCAAATTATGTCTGCTAGGATATATATATATATATATATATATATATATATATACATGATTGATTAGAAAACAATTCAAACTGATATTATGTGACAAGTACCTTAACAAAAGTAGTTCCTTGTTTGCACAGCTTGTTCTGGCAAATCCTGGCCCGGCAGTGATAGACAAGCTTTACACATCCAATTTTTCGAACTCAGATTGGCGAGGACAAGAACTTCCTCACAGTTGCAGAGGCTGTTGCATACTGTTCTCCAATCCTGGTTGAGTTTCCATGAAAAATCTAAATTTCCCACCTTCAGAAGAGAAAATGGGATGCATACACTGAGTCTAATTGACTTTCCAATAGAGACAAGATTTGTTTGAATTCACACAAAAGTACTACAGGGCAGACGAAGCTACATTGCCAAACTTCACCACGTGGTTGCTATCCTCCAAACCACAAACCTTAAGCTAACCAACAAATAGATTGAGCTTTGATTTTCTCAAAACACTGCATTAAAACTACAAACTCCAGAATGCCCTGCAGTAACCCATTTTAACCCAGATACATACTTCCGAATAAGCACAGGATCTAAGGCTCTATGTAATAGTTCCATTCCCAGAGTTTACAAAAGGACAGATGCAAGCTTTTACACAGTCCACACACATTGATAAAGGTTGATCCAGATCTAACTCTTTTTTAGAAATCAAATCCTAAACATCTAATTAAAATTGGCTAGGTTCTAATCGAATTTAACAAGTGAGCATTTCATGAATCAAATGAAAACAGATTAATACATTGCAATCCAGTAGCATAATCCTGAACACAGCATTTCAAAGTACACTCTCTAATCAATCCTACAAATATTTAGCTCATGATAGCAAACAAAATTGAAATTAAAAGGAACATATTGTATTTCACAAGTTGCTCAAACAAAGTAAAGAAGATCCATTACATAGCAGGAACCAGAACTAACAGAACTATATATATATATATATATATATATATATAACCACGTTAGCAGAATTGCTTTAGGGGGTAAAATACTACCGAATTGGGATTAGTCCATTTTCATCAAACTTGGAGACGCTATGGTCACTTGAATTGAAGCTTAGGGGATAAAATACTACTGAATTTCCCTATTTGAACTTCCCAAAACCAATACAGCATATCCATACAGATTTGACCAACAACGACTCAGGGAACCATCAAACTGAGAGATGTGTTAATATATGCATTGATTTCTTTTATATTACTCGAGGGAGACAGTGTATGATACACGACTAAATTGCCTTGATTTAAGAATCTTGCAGCATTCCTTGTTTTTATCTTTGTATGCTTAAACATGATAATGTGGTTGAGCTTAAGGCATATTACTATTCTAAAGATGAGAAATTGATGGTATATGATTACTACAGTCAGGGGAGTGTCTCTGCTTTGTTGCATGATATGTAGCATGAATTATTTTTCCTACAAATCATTTTTAAAATAATTATTGATACTCAATTGTTTAGGATCTTTCCCTATTTGGCACATGGATGTGGCTGTTGCTTCTTGACTTTGAGTGTATCATCTGTGGCAGCATTCAAAGGAAAGGTTGCTTATATGTTTGGTATATTAAATTAAACAACTCAAAATGTTGTCTCAAAATTCAGCTATGACAAAATTCAATGTAGAGCATAAGATTTGAAGTTTGAAATATAGACTGTACATACATACAACACACCTCATAACTATACTGTCTTTGTTTGAACACTACTGCTTTGTGAAATTTTCAGGTAAAAGAGGAGAGGAAAGGGTGGCTTTAGATTGGGATACTAGAATCAAAATAGCTTTGCTCATATCCATTCGGAGAATGGTGGGAAACTTTTACATGGCAATATCAGATCCTCAAATATCTTTCTCAACACTAAACAGTATGGTTGTGTATCTGATCTTGGCCTAGCAAACATAATGAAATGTAATAAGCTTGACATGAGAGGAACGTAATGCTCCCAATTATTATGCCTCTATTGGAGCAACCGAGCAAGACGAAGATGATGATAACATGAATTTTTAAAGAACCATGAATAAAATTCTGAAGAATAAAATTCAGAGAAAAAAGTTAGATAGTAAATTAAAAAAAACAACTAAATCAAATCAAATTGATACCTGTTGGCATGAAATGTAATAAGCTTTGACGTATGAGATTAATAACAAAAGCTCCGGAAGAAGAAAAAATAAAACGAACAAGCAAAACCCTAGATTAAAAAAAGGGAGTAAAACACTATAAAATTCATGAATCTGTGCATATCGTGCATAGATCGAAAAGATTAAGAGTCACCTTGGCACTGAGAGCTTCACATTTGGTGGAATCTAGAAGAAAATTGACGATGTAATGCCTTGCTTGAACAAATAAATCTTCAAGATCTGAAGCTCAAACTTAAAGAAGGAAGTGAGTTTCAAAGATTTTGTTGAACATTCTTCCAAAATTGCTTGAACGATTCAAAGATTTTAGACAAAGAGGGGTTTTCTCATACGAATAGAATGATTTACTATGCATAGGAAACAAATAGAGAGAGGGAAATAAAATAATTAAAAACAATTAGCCATATTTAAAATAATGTTGTAAATGGGGGTATATTTGTACTTTTACCATCATGCTAATAAATGTGTTTAACTGGATGTCGCAGTACACCGTGTTTTTTGTAGTGAGGACAATTTCACCTATCAAAGCAATTAAAAGAACTACTGAAATAAGGTCAGATGAAAGGAATAAATGGATTGATAAATGAATTCCAATTTGTAATCAAATCTTACTCTATATCTGTTTTGATCTTGAAGACAAAATAATCATGTATCGTAATGTATTTAAAATAATAGTTATTGGTGAAACAAAATATTTACACAAATCATCAAAGTAATTCCATCTGTAACTGTGTAAAGATGAAAATCTTGGTAATATATATTCTAAACCATTCATGAACATCACAACACAATAGTATTAGGGAAATTCAATTTTTATGTTACAGGAATCGAAAATTATTTTCCTGCTGACTCATGGAGAAGCGTGCCATATTTTTTATCTTTTTTTTTTCCTTCAAAAAAATGGGTCCCACGAAGAAGTGTGTCAGCAAGAATATGAAATTTTACGATGCAACAGGAGATACTGAATCCCCGTAATATTATATTATTTATAGCTACCAGGTAAATAAGTAGTTGTGTTGCAGCTAAAAACTAGAGTTTGATAAAACATAGAATAAAGATATACAAATTATAAAAACCCAATCCCAATGATAAAGAAGAAAAAATTGGGCTGGTAAATAATACTACTACTAGATTTTCTAAGAACAAAAATAAAAATATGTACGCAATTACTACTTGCAATTTCACCCTTATCAATTGAATTTATTTTATATAAACAAACACACTAATAAAAACTCAACGCAAACAAATTCTAACAGGACAGAGACATTAATGATGCTAAGCAACGGTGTTCATGCAATTATCATTGAACATTCATGTTATATTTGTGATGAATTAATTTTTCTGGTTACTTAGCATAAATTGTTTGTCATCATCAAAAAGGGAGAAATTGTTGGGTATTTATTATACCCCAATTGTTTAATTGATTTAAAATCAGTTTTGATGATTACAATCAATTTAATGTTAATTTAATTTATAATATTTTATTGTTTTGAAATTACTAATAAGCTGATTGTTTGAGTTTTTAGAATAATATTCACTACTATAAAAGTCTTTATTATCAACGGAATTTTCCGACGGAAAAAATTTCGTCGAAATTATTGACAGAATTTTCAACAAAAAATGTGTTCCGTCAAAATTTTTGACGGAAAATCGAATCCGTCAAAAGTTTTCGACGGAAAATAAATTTCGTTGTACAGTTTTTGACGGAAAATAAATTCTGTCGAAAATTTTTGAAAAATTAAATGAAAAAGAAAATATATTTGTTGATTTTTCGACAGAATTTAGATTTCATCGAAAATTTTTGAGTAAAAAAAAATTCAGTCAAAAATTAATCAAAATTTTATTGGATGAGAATCAGGTAGAGAACACTCAGTGGAGACTATAATGAAAATTACGAAATGAAGTAAATTATAAATTTTAACAGTTATTATTTGCTAGGAGGAAAGGAGCACTGTAAAATTAGAGCCAAACAAATGGAAAAGAAGGATGAGAATGAGATAATCTCACCGTAGATGGATCTAATTTAAGAAAAATGTTTACACTTTGATATGATATGTGAGAATATAAAGAAGTTCGATGCAGACGGTAAAAACAAGCGTTGGAATTCGTCGCCCCAATCCCCACGCTTTTAAGTTGAATGTTCAATGTGGCCATCCCCAAGCCCACTCTTTAAATTGCTATATTATATATTTGGGTCTGATACTGGGCTTCTTGTGTTTTGCCCAAATGCCATGCTAGCTCAATTGGGGGACTCTAAATGTCACTGAACCACGAGCTCTAGATAAAGAATGTTTTGACTTGAGATGTTAACGGGTCCGAACTAGAAATAGGATACAAAATAATCAAATCAAACTCAACAGAACCAAATTGCTATATTATTTTGAATCAAAAGAATATGTTTGAAAAATCGAGTCAGAATTGGTATGAAAACTAATTTAGATTCACATTTAGAATTAGTTCAGAACGAGAGTTTGCATATCGAAATCAATTCTGTAACATAAACGGGTTCTAATATATAAACTAGGGGAATATATTTTCTGCTTTTTAAATCAGATAATTTTGTCTGGCCACAGAGACATAGAAACAGTGGCCCACATCATTTTTTTTCTCTCTCATTTTTCTATACTTTCTCTCTATTTTTTTTTATCTATGTGGCATAGATAAATTTATATGCCTTAAAAACAAAAAATATATTCCCATAAAATGGTTCCGAACTCATTTTTAATAAGTAAAGATAATTCAGTTCGATAGTCAAATCAAAAATCCAACCCATACACACCCCCTCACATTGACTAATTTATCTTGAGTAATTTTTGCATTTATTATTTAATTATTATTCTTGGTTAATTGACAAGTACATAAAGATCAATAATATATAATGTCAACTCTTGAGTTAGGCATATTCCGATGATTTTGATTAATATGTATTAAACAACAATGTAATTCTTGCTCAATGATATTTTGATTTATATTTATTATTTTATAGGAAAAAGTATTCATGCTTTTATAGAAAATTTATTTCTGTCACAATTGTATGAAAATGAATGAATCTCATTGTAATGTGGAAAAAGAAAAAGAAAATTAAAATATAATAAGATCCGCTCGTTCTACGTAGCACCGATACTGATACGGGACACATGACACGATACAACACGAAACTCCGACACGTTAATTCTAAAAGATGTTAGATTTCGACACGTTAGGATACGTTTTGATATTAAATAATATTTTTAATTTATGTAGTGTATACAATATTTAATATTCAATAATTTAACAAAAAAATGAAACTAAACTTATATTATTCATCAATTTTGCAAAGAAACATAAGATATCTCAAATATTTATATTAAACTCAATAAAATGATAATTGTAATACAACAAATCTAATAGTTGAAACTAACCTTTGAACCTTCTTTAGAATTTTTATAACGCTTGTTAGAGTGTCGGAGAGTGTCGGACACGACACGTCAGAATTTTTGAAGTGTTGTGCTTCGCAACAACGCTCCTTATTAAACCCTGTTTTATAATGTTACCCTTCTTCCTTTGTTAATAATTAATTAATGCTTAGTATTCCTAAACAAGTCAAACTCAAAAACATTCGTTATTTTATATTTTGTGAAACCGTTGTAAACGAGGCACTAAACCCTCCACAAATTTGTAAAACCCAAACAATTCTAAACAGTGACTCGCGGAAACTCTTTTCCTTCCATTTCTTGTTCTTCTTGGTGTTTACTTGGTGGAAGAAGCCATGGGAATGCGTCAGAGAAGACGCTTCTTCTTCTTTTCCTTCTTGTTCAAGTTGTTCTTGATCTTCTTTGCCTTCATGGAGCCAACAGCGCTTGCACTTTCAAACAAGGTGAGCTTCGACTTCCCATCTTTCAGCGTCGGCAACAACAACATCACACTCGTGGGCGATTCCTATCTAAGGAACGGCGTCGTTGGCCTCACAAACGCCATCGACGAGCCCACTTCCAGCGCCGGAGCACTCGTATACAACAAACCCATTTCCCTCCTCGACCCTCTAACAAACACCACCGCTTCATTCTCAACAACCTTCTCCTTCTCCATCAACAACGTCAACCCTATCTCCTTCGGCGACGGTCTCGCCTTCTTCCTCTCCCACGACAACCGCTCCCTCGGCACCGGCACCGGCATCGGCGGAGGAGGATCCCTCGGCCTCCCCAACAACTTCGTCGCGGTTGAGTTCGACACGCGCTTCGACTCTCGTTTCGATGACCCAAACGAGAACCACGTTGGTTTGGACATCGACACCATGAACTCTCTCATGACCGGTGACCCTATCTTGCATGGGATTGATCTCAAGAGCGGGAACACAATCACCGCTTGGATTGATTACAAGAGTGATCACACGGTTCTCAATGTTTTCTTGAGTTATGCGCGTTCTAAACCTTTGGAGCCTGTCCTCACTGTTCGTGTTGATCTTTCTCTGTACTTCAAGGACGCCGTTTACGTTGGGTTCTCTTCTTCTACTGAGGGAAGCACCGAGCTTCATCAAATTGAGAGTTGGAGTTTTCATACCATTGGTTTTGTTCCCGCAAGACCTAGGTTGCAGCCTCATAACGTTTCTGACAATTCCGTTAGTGTAACAGTGGGGAATAACAATATCCCTGCTTCTAGTTCCAGCAAGAATCATGATAAGAGGGTTAGGTTTGGAATTGGTTTTGTCATTGGGGGTCCTGTGTTTTTCTGTGCTGTTGTGTTTTCTTTCTTGGGGTATATTTCTGTTCGGAAATGGAGGAGGGGTGTTAGAAATGATCAAAAGAGTTTCAAGAGTGAGTTTGTGGCGTGTCCTAGGGAGTTTGATTACAAAGAGTTGAAATCTGCTACGAGAGAGTTTCATCCTAGTAGGATCGTTGGGCATGGTTCGTTTGGGACAGTTTATAAGGCCTTCTTTACATCTTGCGGAACCATTGCTGCTGTTAAGAGGTCAAGACATTCCCATGAAGGCAAGATAGAGTTCCTTGCTGAACTTTCCATCATAGCTGGTTTGAGGCACAAGAATTTGGTTCAGCTACAAGGTTGGTGTGTTGAGAAAGGAGAGTTGCTTCTTGTGTATGACTTTATGCCCAATGGAAGCTTGGATAAGATGCTTCACAAGGAATCTGAAAGGGGGAAATTGTTGAATTGGTCTCACAGGTTCAATATTGCTCTTGGGTTGGCTTCTGTGCTGGTTTACCTTCATCAAGAATGTGAGCAGAGAGTTATTCATAGGGATATTAAGACAGGGAACATATTGCTTGATGGAAACTTCAACCCCAGGTTGGGGGATTTTGGATTGGCAAAACTCATGGATCATGATAAGAGTCCTGTTTCAACGTTGACTGCTGGAACAATGGGGTACCTTGCACCTGAATATCTTCAGTATGGAAAGGCTACTGATAAAACTGATGTTTTCAGCTATGGAGTGGTTGTGCTTGAAGTGGCTTGTGGGAAGAGGCCAATTGAAAGAGAGGGCCCAAAAATGGTGAATCTGATTGATTGGGTTTGGGGGCTGCACTCTGAAGGGAAGATAATTGAGGCTACAGATAAAAGGTTGAATGGTGAATTTGAGGAGGAGGAAATGAGGAAGCTGTTGCTCTTGGGGTTGAGCTGTGCTAACCCTGATAGTGCTGAGAGGCCTTCCATGAGAAGAGTCATGCAGATTCTCAACAATGAAGCTGCACCTCTTGTTGTGCCAAAAGTGAAGCCAAGCCTCACTTTCTCATCTGACCTTCCTCTGAGTATTGATGAGATTGTTTCAGATGCTGAAGAGTTCAATACCGGTCAATCTATGTGTGAGATAAAAATTGAGTGAAGTTGCTGAACTTATTCATTTTGATTCTTTAATTCTTTTAGGGGATTAGTTGTAATGTTGCTATTCTGTAGTCTGAATACTAGGAAAAGTCATAGTTCATTGGCAGGAGTTCAAAGCTAATATCCATTGAACTTCACTGTCTAAGCTATATTCAAGGCACAGAAACTTTAGTACATACGGAAATTGACAGTGTTTTTGGTCATGGTCATATCTCTTTCTCAAGTTTCTTTCCAGAAATAATCGTGCTTTCCTCTTTTGGGTTCTCTCTCATGCTGTTTGCAACTTTTTAAGTGCATAAAATGCAATAACGCCATAGAAGAGTAGTTTCTTTGGGATCGGCCAACTGTTATAAACAAAACATTTGCTGGCTGTAAACTCAACTAGTAGCGCTGCGTTTGCTACCTACCCGTTCATATGTGCTTTGTGCTAACTGAATGCTTTGTCGAATTATTCATATGATGTTTGAAACTTGGAATTGAATCTGCAAGCATGGTTAGATTTGCTGACTTGGATTGTGTAAAAAATCATATGTGCATCTAACATGGAAAGATAACGAATGAAAGCCTTCAATGCAGAGACCTATGCATTTATTAGAAAAATTCTATATTTAAATTACTTTGAATGATGACTTTGGAAAGAAAATTAACATAAAAGCATCATAAATGAAACTTTTGTAACGGCTATATTAGGATTTTGGGACTAGTCGATATATGCAACCATGAGAAAATGGCCCTTCATCATCATTTTGGAACACAAGCATGTTTTCCACACATATTTATAAATTTATATAGGAGGTCTGAGATATAGATTGAAGATAAAAAAAAAAAAAACGCCTGTCAAAATGCAGGCAAAACGGGGGAATCAAACGAGTCTTGAAAGGAAAAGATGCTACTTAAATTACGCATTACTTGCATATCTGCCTATATACTAATATTTAGAGTAAAGTCACCTAAATTTTGGCTAAGATTCATAGAAACATTTTTCATGAAACATAGTACGAACCAGTATGTAAAAAAGCTTTTCTAGACAGAGTTGAACGGGAATTGACCCTGTTTGGAAGAGTTTAAATCTGTTTACGTTGAAAGCATGAAGCTCAAACCTACTTCAGATTAAGCTCTTCAAGTGGTAATTGTGTGTCCGATTGGGCTCGTCTGCTTTATGTGATGAGCAAGGAAGCACGGATACTTGTAAAAACAGGAAGAGTCGTGTCCGACACGCTTCGACACGGTGACACGCTTCGACACGCTCCGACACGGTGTCGAACACACAGTCAACTTTTTCCGACACGTTGACAATTCCGACACGCGAATTTGACCGTGTCCGACACGGTCAAATGTCATTTTCGTAATTTTTTTAATTTTTTTTAATTTTTTTTAAAATTAAAATATATTAATAAAGCTTCTACCTGATCATATCAATTTTATTTTTTTGTCTTTTTTTTTCTTAAGTAGATAAAAGATTATCTCAGCATCATTGTTGTCAATTTCTATCACGCTCTTGTTGTATCTCCTTGTCTCTGATCTCTCTCTAATATGATTTGATCTCTCTATATGATATTATATATCTCTCTCATCCCAGTTCTTATTTTTTTTTATTAAAGCTTCCATCTTTATAACGTGTTGATGGGTATTATTAATTTAGTTTCATTTTTTTGTTAAATTATTAAATATTAAATGAAATATACACTATATAAATTAAAAATATTATTTCATATTAAAACGTGTCCCAACCCAATGTGTCGAAATCCATAACTTCTTAGAATTGACGTATCAGAATGTCGTGTCGTATCGTGTCACGTGTCGTATCGGTGCTACATAGCTTATATAGCTTATGAGTTTAGCAAGCATGATGACCATTTTTAATGCAAATTTTTAATCTTCCCTGTTTGGGTTAGACTCCAAAATGGGTTTGTGTCTTGGGAAAATTTTTGGTCCGCAACAAAGTTCAAGAAAAAGTTGAACAACACGGTGAAGAGAGCTAGGTAAAAAAAAAAATTGTTGGATAATAATGTATTTATCCGTTTATCCACATGTTAAATGAAACGGATTGTGTCATTTAAATAAGCCTACAATAAGTGTTCTTAACCCTTGATGCATTTATTCAGTTCTAAGCAACATTAGTATGCATAAATTTAAGGTTGATTGAACAAATATGGATTTTAAAAAAAACAAATCTGAATTTTTTTTTTTTTTTACTTTCACTCGCAAATTAAATGGATAATCAAGAAAGCGCCTTTGTAAAACCATATTACTATTATTAATTTTCCAACCTCTCCTCTCTTATTCCCGATGGTCAAATTTTCAAAGCATTCACGATGATCGTAGAGGCAATTTGTTGAGTTTGATGGAAAATCTAAATTTTGAAAATGTGTTGTATTATATTTGCTGATTCAAGAGGAGAATTTGGTGGGTATGCATGAAAATTTGTGTGGCAATTTATGAAGACCATAACTGAATTTCTTTGTTAATTGGAGGATGTGATTAATTAATGGAGTTGGATTTTTAATGGTTGACTTAATTGTATTGCTGAAGTTCTTTGTTAATTGGAGGACGTGATTAATTAATGGAGTTGAATTTTTTATGGTTGACACGACTTCACACCGAAAGGAAAACACGACAGGAATTATTTTTGAACTCATATGAACGTCCGTGATGAATCTAAAAGTTGTAAAGCTAATCTTAACCACTCTTTTCTTTTATCTAATTTTCTTTTTTCTAACCTTAACCACTAACCACTTTATTTACTCTTCTCATTTTCCATATATATTATGGGTCACTTCCTTTGAAAAGACAGATCCAACTTCCAAACTTGAGGAGTCCACAGCTTAGCAAAGAAATGAAGTCCATCTTTGCATTGTTTGTAGTCTTCTCTCTTCTTTTGGTAGTAAGCTTTTTCTGAAGCAGCTCTATGAAAGTTTATTTTATCATTTCATGATTTCATTTCAAGTAACTCACTTGTTTTTGTAATTTATACCAATGAGTAAGTCATATGTTGGTCATGACATTTCTCTTTTATCTCTATTGAAATAGGTTGTTAACCTTAGCTATGCAAGAAAAGACCCGGGTGACTATTGGAAGAATGTGATGAATGGCCAACCTATGCCTGAAGCAATTAAAGACCTTATTCAAGTTCCACAGGTATCAGATGCAGGAAAAGATCACTTTATTAGGGACTTTGATATAAAGCCTAATATCATATTATATCACACTCATGTTGAGTCCAAGCAGCAGAAGCAGAAGGCATTTGACCAGAAATTTGAACCAGCCTCAGGGAACCATCAAAAAGGGTTGAAGATGTTAGAAATAATAACTAGAAAATAGAGTCATGCATGTATGTAGTCACCAAGGCATTATTATGACTTTATGAACTATTTCCTGTTATATGAAAAGTTATGCATGTATTAGTATATTTAGAAATAAGGCATCAAGCAGTTAAGGTTATAGTGCAGCGTAACTGATGAATGAGTGTTTCCCTAGTTGCAGTGCAAGACTCTAGTCTTGCATTAAGTATGCCAAGAAATAAAAAATCATCTTCATCGGTAGATTTCTTCTTCTTCATCTTCATCTACAGATTTCCTCAAACTGAGTAACAGGGAGTATTCTATTAACCATTAAACTAACTCCTTTAGTTTTCTCAAAAAAAATTACTCACATTTTAATATTTCTTTTTTCTTTCTGGCCTCATTTACAAGGAGAAAAAATCCTCTAAAATAAATTAATTTAGTGGTTGGCTTTGTTAGTTTCTATATTATACTTTGTTATTTATAAGGGGAAGATTATATTTACAAACTTTTTGTTTACAAACTCTTACAATCTAATTATGTGTGACTGGTCATACTCAGTGTAAGACTGGTCATACTCATTGTAAGACTGGTCATACTCAGTGTAATTTATAAAAAAATGATCAACTTTTTTTTGAGTTCTTTTCTTTTAGACTAATAACTATTGGAGGTATTATTATTGCTATCCCTATATAAGTATTCGTAGTCTGACTAAATTCTTGACATTGCATGGACTCTTGATGTTTAAATTTGTTTACCACCTCTAATTAAGGATGAACAGACAGTCTATTAGAGCTTATAATTTTTATTTTTTTTTGGTAAGCAGAAGCTTGTAATTTAACTAAGTTAGTTTAGGGTAAACCCTTTGAGAATGTTCATTTAACAAACCAGCAACCTGGAACTTTTAAAAATCACGAGGCTATGATTGCGGTATGGATTTTCAAAAGCAAAGTTATTAAAATTGAGATTTTAAGTAAAATTGAAAAAGAGCTAAAAAATCATAAAATGTAAAATCGTAATGAAAAAAATCATAAAAATATTTGGAATATTAGTAAAATCGTTTTGATGGAAAAAAAATCGTAAAAACGTAAAATCATAATGATAAATCGAGATTTTAACAACTATGTTCAAAAGTGTGATATAATTGCGGATCATAATTTAACACTACGATAGTAAGAACGTGAGAGACATCCACTCCCGTAAATATGAGAAATTTGGTGATTGTTATTTGGGCTTATTATTTTTGCAGCCGCCGTAGATAACACTCTCTACAGCTGATACAGAAAAGTGGACCCCACGGTATTTAAAAAAAAAAAAAACAAGGATCTGGTGCGGTATCCTAGGATCCGCACGCCAATCCTGACTAGCTGTAGGTGCAGCGACTGCAGAAATCATTTTGCCTTGTTATTTAAGGAATTATAAATGTCGTTCATATTATCTAGTGGCTAAGAATTAAAACTAAAAAAATTTACATTCTCAAGGAGACTATTATGTTCACTGCCAAATCTAGGAAAGATAAATTTGGGAGTATGTAACAAAAATAACAAATACAATGAAACTAACCACCCGTTATGGACCTGTCATGCAGTTTTTGGCGTTTCAGATTGATTTTAGGAACAGATGCTAGCTTCTGTACTCTATGCTCTGTAAGCTTGAATTCATTTGTTCTGACTTGTGACTTCCAAGGAGAGCAGAAAAAGGAACATTTTCCATTACACGTTGTGGACATGCACAACATTGGTATCTTACTCATTTCAGTTATAGTCCACGCATGACAATGCATTTAATTTGCTGGCTTAGAACTGTGTGGGAAAATTCATATGTAGTTCTAATAAGGAAAAGATAATGAATGGAGGCATTCAACAATGAGACTTATAGGTTATATATAAGGAATATTCTATACTCAAATTACTTCGACCACGATCCAGAAAAATTTATTTATGACTGTATATTTAGTGATGGGGTTCAAATGCAATGTCTCTGGAAAAATTATTTAAAAAGGGTTTTAAATGTGTCAAAAAATGAAAAAATATAAAATTTTAACCATCCTTTATGCCTATCATGATTAACTAAGGTTAGTTATCTTTGCAATTCTTTTTCCACTTTGGTTAAAAAACCATCCTTAAACTCTTTAGCCAAGGGATTAACCAACTCAAACCCCAATTAATCTAGAGCTGATTGTGGAGCTTGCATTACCTGATAACATAGTGAATATGACTTTCTCCTTTGGTGTCGTCTCACTTTGACCAAAAGGCTATAGCTTGTTAGCATCTGTCAAAAGAAGAATTCCTTCTTCAATGTGAAGGAAAACAGAAGGATCTCCTAAAACATCAATCTTACCCTTTCTAGAATCATGGAAGCCTAAACTAAAGCTTTAATTAAGCTCAACACTTTTTGCGGAAGTTATTTTAAATATATTTTCTAGTTAGGAGAGAATTATTTTGTTTGAACAGAATTACTTCCCAAATTTAAAACATGGAAAAGACTTCCAAACTTCAATCATGACAATCAACTGAACCATGTTGAAGTTTTTACAAGAAAACAAAGAGTAATCCATCATACTTGCTTTTATCCATATGCAAACATGTCCTTTCCTTGTTTTAATCAGAAAAGAGTAATTCATTTTATTTTATTTCCAAAACTTTGTGTCTGCATTTGCAGACATGTGCATTAGAATAGTTCCGCCAGTTTCGACCATGTGACTATGGAAAGAAAATAGCATAAAACATAGTTTCTTGTTAACAACTACTGAACATTACACTTCAAGGAATTTCTTGAAGCTGCAGAGGCATATGTATTATAGTGAATGCCCCCACAGGTTCCTGTTCAGATAAATATTATGCTTGAATTGAAAATGTATATAAATTTGGAGAAAACTTTGAAGCTTGGACTTTCCATTCAAAACTTTAACCCTCTGACATCTGTTCTTGTTTTAAGGATCATCATCATCCGCCCAAGGTGCCTGATGAAAGAGAACTTGCAGGAAAACTCATATATAAACGTTCTCAAAGTGCCTGATGAAAGAGAACTTGCTAACAATTTCATGCAAAAACCTTTTCAAGGGAAAGAAATCAGAATGTCTGTTCCGGAATTGAAGTATCCCACTGAAGGTTAATGCTTGATCTCAAAGCACAAGATGTTGTTAGCAAGAATGGAAGAGAGAAAGACCAGCACAGCCACAACTTGTAAGCAGCCTCTTTGTTCATCATTCATCCAATTGGGGGGATAGAACCACCAAGGATTGCTACCCCAAAATTCATTTTATAAAGCTCGTACTAAACGAGCTGCAAAGGAGCCATCCAGCGAATGTTTTACTGGGTTGGAGAAATAGAAACCATTGTGTGTCACAAAATCAGGTGGAACATATCTGTCTACAGGATCAATGTGAAAATCCTGAAATTCAGAGAACGACAAATTTAGAATAGAATATCAGATGAGAGGAATCATGCCCGAAAAAAGTTTATAAGGACTTAATTATTGACACACACAATATTTAACCTTCCATATTTAAATTTAAACTTCCAGATAACTCATGCTATTCGACAATTTCCCAGTAACATACATAGTATCCAATTTCTCTAAAGAAACCTATCACCAAGCTTAAAAGAAGGATTTGGTACTAAAACAGCAGGCATAGAAGTCATGACTCATGAACATGGATAAGCAAGATGTAGCCTCACAATAAATATTCAAAACTAAAGATAATTTAGAACATTACAAAGGGAAAGTTTTCCTGAAACCCAAAAATAGAATATTTGAAGAAGATTAGAGATAATACTTACTGGATGTCTGACAAGAAATGCAGCTACCCTCTCATCATTCTCTTCAGGATCTATGGAGCAGGTACTGTAAACTAATATTCCCCCAGGTTTTACCAATCTACATGTGCAGAAAAAAAAAAAAAATCCATGAGGGAGAAAGAATGTATCATTAGATAAGTTTCAGCTACTTCTGTAAAAATTCAAAATTTGGATAGTGAAGTTATCATCTAAGCATACAACAAGCCTTGATCCACTTCATGATTAGCAACCATTCTGTGAAGCTCTTATTCACTTCTTCATTTAATTTATTCACTGAACTTATAATATTGACACTTGATCACTCAGGAAAAATTGAAAACTAATCTTCAAAACCAAACTGACTTTCATGATGAGCAAAGCACAGCCAGAACTGATTTTTTAAGCCTAATTTTAAGTTTTAACTTTACATTCATCCCCAAAACTTCTGAAAAGATTTCTAATGCCTCTTAAGAAGTTTCTATAAAAAAGAAAACTGCATGTTTAGAGGGAACATCAAAGAAGTTCCATTATATTAGTTAATATGCCTCACATTAATCAATGCAACAAACAGAGAGGGAACATCAAAGAGAATTTCTGGCTTTACTTGGATGCTGCATCCAGGAGTTCATCCTGTAATTTCTTCAGTTGTTCCATATCTTCCAGCTTCCTGTTCCAACGCAAGTCCGCTCTCTTCAAAAGCCAAGGAATAGAAACAGATAAACAAACAAGAAAAGGGAAATACATTGAAATTGGATGCACTTAATTTTGTTAAAAAATTGACAATGATTAAAAATAAAATACTTAACACAATCACCTTGGAAAGAACACCAAGCCCAGAACATGGAACGTCCAACAAAACTTTGTTACTCTTAAGGGGTCCACTGTCCTGGGAAATCCAAAGGAGAACCGATAAGAAATAAACAATTTCAAGTTCAACATTACACAGGGATAATATAACATACAGTTAATGTACGAAGATCAGCATTGACGGTGGTAATGACCCCATCTAACTGATGCAACTTTGCTGCCTCTTTAAGAATTCTCAACCTACCACTATTTACATCAACTGCAAATATCATTCCTGAAAATACAAGCTTTTCTTCTTAATGTACAAATTGGCCTAGTGGTAAAAATAGAAAGCTAGAAATTAGTATATCAACATATAAGCAAGTTAGAACATTGCAGACCAAAAAACACTATCTGACAGTCAGAACAAAGATCTAAGGAGATTATTAGATCCAACAGAGATTTTTATTTTTTTTGGGGAGGGGGGGTCAGAATGTCAGATTTTATGGTTTGAAAATTTACGGGGAAAAATGTGAAACTATGTTTACAAATATAAAGAGATATTGCTATTGATTCCAATGAGCAGGGTCAAAGCCCTAATTCACTAAAACTAACTCCAAGTCTCTAGGATGAATCTCTTCTACGGAGAAAAAAAAAAATTAGAAAATGTTTAATGGAGTTTGTAAAGAAATAGAAATCCAACATTATTTTAATAAATTCTCTAACACCAATTAATACCTTGGCCACTTAAATGAGAAGCCATATAGAGGGTCTTTCCACCAGGAGCGGCACAGCAATCAATGATGGTTTCACCAGGCTGAGGATCCACAACAGAAACTACCAGACCTGCAAGCGAGAATGTGTCAAACATTGCATGAGAATATAACCATGTAACATAAGAATTTCTTTTTATTAAAAAACAAGGAAACAAAGACATAGCTTGAAATCTTCTTTGTTTTAATTAACATACCGGGTGATACGTTGTACACACAAAATGCAAGGCCAAACCATATGGCTCCTTTCTAAAGGCTGCAAGGCTAATTACCTAAATAATACTAGTTGGTGACTCATATATCCTATCAAGCACGAGAGTCTTCTGAAGAAACTACAGTCCAATTAATACATGAACATGAATGTATATAAATAATGCATTATTCCTGGTAGATCATCTTAGCAAAGAAGAGGCCATCGTTCCAAGTAAAATAATAGAAAGAAGGGAAAAGAAACTAGATATTTTAGACTTATAGTCATTTTCCTATGAGAAAAGATGACAAGGTGACCTGCACTTTCATCCTGAACTGAACATAAACCCTTTCTGAGTAGGCCAGCATGAATGACAAGCTGAAATATGAAACTACAAATAGTCAACAACTTAAACGAGAAAGTTGCACTTACTGTCAATAACAGCTAGAACCCATGACTTCAATGCCTCATGCGTCAAAAAATAAAATGAAATAAAGTGATGCACCCATAGTAGATCCGTAGCCAGCTAAAACACAATTTCACACCATCAAACCTATTAATCTATTACATATACAATTCTGTTCCTGCAGCTTGTCTCATCTTATCAGTGCTTGACTCCATAGGAATTCATTATCCTAGTTAGGAAATTTACAGATGAAAATAGCCCTGATAATCAACTCATTGTCTCACTATCATACCTGCAACCCAGTTTTGATGCGAACAAATTCATCCAAATGCAATGAAAGCTTGTGTGGAACCTGAAGTTTAATAAGAGAGACTTAAATCTGGCAGAGACACAGGCTATACAAGGAACAAGCAGAAAAAATACAAATGTAATGTGCACATGTAAACGTGAACTTCTGGTCACATCTGAAGAGAAAGATAGGATTCCGTTCAAAAGAGGAAGCAGGAATTTTAAAACAACATTAAAATACTAAAATATAAAAAAAGATAAAAAATTAATAGTATGATAAGCAGAACGTAATGCAACACTTAATCATGGAAGTGGTAGCACCTTCAATTCATTTAGCTGTGTCACAAGGTCATCTCTTGAAAAACCTCTTGCACAGTTTGCTCTGAAATAAGCACAAATATATAGCTTGAGTTTTTATTGTTTGTGTTACATGCTACTTTGGGGGGGAGCAAAGAAAATGGAAGAAGCATTTACTAGCCTTAAGCTGAAACTGGGTTCACTGTTGTTCCATATCATGAATTTAATCGCTTCTTCCTGTCCAAGATACTTCGTCCATCTCCTTACCATCCACTACAAAAGAAGCTAAAAGAAAATGTTCAACTAAATCTAGCCTTCCACATTTTGATGCTAACAAACTGTTTATCTTCGCAAGTTTGGTGAATAGCAAAGTTTCTGTTACTAGTTACATTGTTAGTTTAATTAAGAAAACATTTTTCAGGCTGGAGCTGGACAGTAAACTATCCATCATATTACCATTTAGATTTATAAGTAAACAAAATCATTATGTAACCCCCTCTCCACCCCCACCCCCCCAAAAAAAAAAAATTAATAATAAATAAATAAAATAAAAAGTAAAAAAAATGGTTCATAGCCATAACTACAATTTTTGTTAGACCAAAATCCCCTGATAATCAACTATTGAGCTCAGTTATATGGGACATGAAGCAAGACTCGACTTGTCAGCCACGTGGAATACTCCTAAACCCCTTCTTGTATAAATCAGGGACAGACATTTAGGAAATATATCTAAGCGTTTGATCTTAGGCACAGACTTACAGTTGACCAATGATACTAACCTAAGAAGCATCAACAATCCAGGAAAAACCATTTAAAATGAGATTCATTAGATTCACTTGCAGTGTATCTAAAATACAAGCTTACACCTTCCACGTACAAATTTTCAGTTTTTCAAAGTAGGCCTATCAAGTATGCTTGGACAACAAACCGCAACATATTAAGAAAGTACCAGCAGTACTCTAGGCATGCAAGAGATTGGTAGAAAATGAGTACAAACTATGTATTAAGCATGTAGTTACAAGTCTTCTTTGTTGAAATTTCTGTTGAGAGCCATTTTGCATATGTTATGCTTATATCATACCCAGTACTGATAACACTAAACAGAAAGTACTACGTCCAGGAAGTCCAAATCCAAAATCTTACTATATTTGATATACAACTATAGGGGTGTAGAATTTTGTATATGGAAATAGAATTCAGAAATTTAATCCAGTCATACTTTGCCGGTACTGATGCTGACCCTTAAAAGAAAAAAGCATTTTATTATTTGCCACTGATTACTAATTCTGAACTATCCTAAATTAGAATTAACAGTGGTACTGGAAAAGTGACAGCAGTTACACACTCACAACTGGATGTGAGTACAGAGTTGCCAGAGCACGTGCTTGAGCACGATCATCACCCTCCACTTTGGGCAAAGGAAGAGTTTCATTTTCCTGAAAGCCAAACGTCAATGGATTTGATAAATTCTTCATGATTTCCTACTTATACAGTGAAGACATACGAAATATCTGCGAAAAGTAAAACCTTAAGCACAACTAGCTTTCGGAGGATTCCATTGACCATGTTGCCAGCACCAGGTCTGAGAGCAACTTTGGCAAGCCTCACGTTCTGCATTTCACAGAGCAGGTTGACAAAACAATGATGAGAAGGTCCTACTTTGAAAAATATTTATTGTCATATCATAATCATAATAAAAGTTTCAGCCCACTGACTAACCATCAAACAGCCATTAAAAAACCAAAATCATAAAATTAACCAATTATACTTACAATTACAATATCAGGTTAGATTTTATTTTTAAAAAATAATTATTCATAAAATAAAATAGAAGTTGAATTGCAAACCAATAATCAATTAGTAATCATGAGATATAATCTCTAACACAAATAGACAACATTAAAAAAAAAATCGACAAATGAGAATCCTCTGCAATTATATTTTTTACTCAGATCCCATTATTGGGATTATATGTTTTATTATATCTGCTCAAGCCTCAAGCAGCGATAACCAAATCTATTTAGCTAGGAAAAAGGAATATACATATGGGCCAAAAAGTACCTCATCTACAACAGCATAAGGTGGCATATCTAATTTGACAATCTCATAGAAGCCAATTCGTAGAATCTGAAACAAACAAATTACTAAGATCAGTAAACAGGTGTCCATAAAGTATATGGCCTCAGACCACTGAATATATGATTACACCGGGCACCTTTATTTTGCAAATTTAAGCTACAAAATCTTTACTGAGCAGTGTTGGACTAAATTAGAATATGTACAAAAATTCATCTCTTCTCCTTCTGTTTATGCTATGCATGAATGTATCCACTTAATTGATGACTCATGCAAACAAGCTCATAAGAAGTAGAGAGCCCAAAGTCACCTGTAGTAGAAGAGGTTCTATGCTAGATATATCCTTATCATGAAACACTGAACTAATCAGATGATCAAGATATCTTCTCCAACGAATTGTGCCCCCAACAATGTCTGTGACCTAAGTAATTTGTAGTTTGAAACAAGAAATGAATCAATAAATTGTTCATGAAAGCTAAATGACATGAAAGCAAGTTTAAAAGTCAAAACTTCAGCCTAATTAGGAGTAATAACACTCTGGACTTTAAAGAGTCTGGTCAAATAGGAGAAAGGCCAGGGGAGTATCATGAATGAGAGAGTAATATAATCAAATGAACTTGTATTTTTCTTTTTTTAAATTGAGAGTATTTAATAACTTTATTACTCCTTATGCAAAACCTTAAACCACAACTGTTCTGAAAGGGAGGAAGTATAAAACAGGATTTTTTTTTTATTTTTTATTTTTTAAAGAACATTTTGTATTGGTATGTAAAGCAGAGAATAGGCTGAAAGTGAAAACCAATCTAAGATCGTGATGATTTAATTCCCGGGTGCGAAATCCAAGCGTTCTTTGAACATATCTCATTTCGTTTTCACCCGAACCTTTCCCTTTCTCGTTGAGAAGATCAGCAAAAGCACCACCGAGCTCAATCCGCATCAATCTCACCGCTGACACTACAAAATGGACAAAAACACAAAACCAACAAATGGATAAGAAAATGAGAAACTCCTTAAAAGCAGCAAAACCAGCTTCTTTGGAAGCACACACGATGACAGCCCAATTTCCGTGGGAGCAGAACATAGAGATGGTGAGGGAGAAAAGTGGATATACCAGCTCTATGAGGAGAAACCTCTGAATTCAGCTTCTGGGTTTTGGCAGTACCTGAAAGTTTCAATTTTTTTGTTTTTAGTGATAGTGAATAAAGCATCAACAAACTAGTAGCATTGTAGTAGGAAGATGAAGTCTCTTTAAGAGTAGTAACCTTTGGTAGTGGTGGGAATGGATGTGTTGGTGCTGCGGGTTCTATGGGGAAGCTTCAATGGTTTGGAAGATGAAGAAGAAGAAGAAGCAGCTGCAGGAAAAGGCAGACCAAGGTACAGAACCTGCGCCATCTCAAGCTTCTTTCGATTTTCGATTCCTAACGTTGTTGCGCGTTTGGCTTTGGATAACAAAGCATATTTGTTTTACCCACGAAAAAAAAAAAAGTTAGAGTGTGTATATGAATTTTCGATTTTAGATAGAATAAAATACGGGGTTTGCATTTATTATTTAAATGATTCAACAAATTTTTTTTACATACACAATATTTTGTGGGCCCTATACTTTTTGAAAAAAAAATTACGGCACACAAAACGAATCTCTATAACATTACACAATCATTTTTTCTACAACATAACTCTTATAAAACCCCTAAAATATATGGATTTCAATCCTATAATGTTACATGAGATTCTTAGTATCATGTTACTCTCCCATGACAAATGAGTTTCACCTTCTTCTTTTTTCATTTTGAATGGGACCCACATCAAATATATTAGAATAACTTGACATTAAAAGTGTGCTACAATATAATATATATAAAACCCAAAATATATTGTCACAATTTTTTTATTTGGATTGATCCATCCTTCATTGTATAAATGGAGTTTTTTGGGTGTCATCTGCTCATTTGGAGATGCTGTGAGCCTGTGACTTGTGTGAGCTGTGAGGGTTAAATGGGCTGATAAAGTATTGTCATCTGTTGGTATTGCATTTGTATCCCTGCTCTCATATATTTTTAAGATTTTAACTTTAATTATTTTTATTTATATACTAAAGAAAAAGTATTTGTCAATTTAAAATACACAAATTTATATAATTTTAATTGAAATTGCTCTATTTTGGTGGTTTTCTAAATTCTTTCTCTCCTCCACAAAATTCTTACTCTCTCTTTTCGTTTGATTTTCTGGAAAAGAGAATATAAAAATCCATTAAACATGTATCAAAATACAATAATTTCTTCTAAAATGATACAAACTCCATCTTGTAATATTTTTAGAAATGATTTAAAGTCTTAATCCTAGACTCATCCTGAATAGGATTGCTTTCCGTGAAGGATACATGTGGTTTATCCAAAAAAATAAAATAATACAAACTTATATGTTTTAAAATGATAAAAAAATATCGTATATTAAATATTAAAATGAAATTTACTTTTTTTTTTAATTTATGATCACATATTGTTATATTCTATAAAATATTGCTATTCTGACACGTATATGCACATATCATCTAAGATTTATATAAATTTTACTGCCTAACCTGTGATGTGAAAATATACCACCTTTTTTAAAATTTATAGTTAATCGAAATTTGGCAAATGCATGTAACTAATTACTCTCTTCTTCTTCTTTTTGGATAACTGCATATAATTACTCTAAGCAGGATTTTACTTTATTTAGAATAAATTTATAGAGTAATTACATGCATTTGACCCAAAAAAAAATATTCTCAAAATCCACTCTACAACTTTTCTAGACTTATACAATTTTTAAAAATATACTTATATTTATACTTTAAAACATGGAAAAAATGTGTATCATTTTAAAGGATGTAAAGTTATGTCATTTTAAGTAAGAGAAAGAGATATAAAAAGAAAGAGAGAGAGTGGACAAAAAAATATAAAGGTGCGGATCCCATCTCTTTGTGAGAGTGAAATGATATAAGTTATATCATTTAAAAAGACAAATATTTTTCCATTAAAACACATATTCTACTTTATCATTTAAATGGAATCGATACTTCTAAATTTACTTTTAAAATATATTTAAACACAAATCAATTCTCTTTAACATTAATTTTACTAAAATTTAAACCAACTAGACCTTAAAGTACATATATCAACGAGAAAGAAGCACTTTTATATTATTAAAATTAAGAACAAATTGGATCTAACTTAAAACTTAAAGTTAGTTTTAGAAAGAAAAACTGTCCATATCATTATATATGGACAATGACATAATACTTTAGCCACATATGACATGAAATTTTAACACATATCTCTCACATTCGAATTAGACATTTGAAGCTTGAAATTTACAAGATTAAACATAGGATTTGATATTTTCATATTATACGAGATAAAATTATCTCATACACGTATAAAAATGTGTAAAATTTATATAAAGTCATATAAGGAGAAGAAATAAAAAAAGAATATGAAATCATACACAATTATATATATATGAGATAAAATTATTTTTAGTAATATAAAAAATATTAACCCTTTAACCACCCAGCATCAGAATGGAAATAAACTCTGAGATTATATTAAAACTAAAATTAAGTTTGGTTTAACCATTATTCGTAATAGATAGTTGAACCAAAAAGCCAAGCCATTATGAATTTTCTATTCCCTGAAAAATGTGACGAGACCACCATGAACAAAATGGACACCTTTTTTGTGTTTATTTTTTATGGATAGATGACAGATGTGGTATTGCAAGTTGCACCAACAAGAGACATTCCACCTTCCAATCAATGCAGCGTTGCACCCATGTGGATGCGCCGTCTCTGATTCCTTCCCTTCCCACGCCGTTACTTTTGTCTAACTTTCATTGTCCACGTCACCGCACATTCATTCCCTTCGGTTCCCCTTAAACACGTAACGTACTGACGCCGTTATAACTTCCGATGCACAAAAATTCTTCCTTCTCTCTTTAAAACACAAACTCCATTTCTGAATTTTCTCCTCCTTTCTCTCTCCTTTTTTTATTTTCCCGGAAAATCCTTCTATCCAGTATTCATGTCGGTATGTGCCCCTTTTCCCTCTCATTACTATCATTCCTAATTCGTATGATTTTCTTCCTGATCATCTGTTGTCGATGATTTACGTTTCTATTTTAATCGTTCATTGAGCTTTTTCCTGTTGCTATATCCATGAATTGTGTTTCGCAATATTGATATTGATTCATTTATTAGTCCCATAAACTTATTTTCCATTTCTTGATTTTGGTAATATGATCCTTGTTCAATTATTTGAATTTTAGGTTAAAAAGGCCTTTGATTAGTTTTTTTTTTTAAAAAAAAATTATTTATCCGTGGGGTTGGGTTGAATATGTATGTGACTTATATAGGATTGCTGAAGCTGTTCATGGTCATTATTTTCCAAATTAAATTCTTCTGACATCCGTGTTCCAGCGTGTTTACTTGATTGATAGAGGAAATCCGGATTTTCACATTCTTATTATTGCTTTTTTCTTTTTTGGGGAATTATTTACTGTAATGTATCCTTAAAATACTCTTTTGGAAAACTGTAGATGTATTGTTTTTTACAAGGAGCTCCATTGTGATAGGAGCTTCTCTGGAATGCAGTAATGTGGTTTCAAACTGGCGTTTTCTGGTGAATGATTTTGGTCTTTAATAGAGTTTGTATACCCTTTGGTTCGATCCTAAAATGTAAAGTGAAAGAATAAAGTAGTTTTAGGATTCTGGTCTGGTCTTCAGCGTGTGGATACATAATAAATAAGGTAGAATATTTTCAAGTAGTTACCAGTTAGATGTTTTTACTATGTAAGTGTCTATGAATAAATGTTATGATCAGTGGTTGATCGCGGGTCTATGAATCAATGCTTGCAGTTGTAGTCTGTTTAATATTAACTTTATGTGACTATGGAATTGCTAAGGAAGCTTATTGTGTTCAATATTTAATTGAAGTGTCTATGAATAAATGTTATAATCAGTGGTTGATCGCGTTATTGGGTCTACGAATCAATGCTTGCAGTTGTAGTCTGTTTAATATTAACTTTATGTGACTATGGAATTGCTAAGGAAGCTTATTGTGTTCAATATTTAATTCCTCAAATGTGGTCCTTTCTATTTGCTATCTTGCACCCAACATTATAGTTATTTATTATCTGAGGCACAAATATATCAAATTATTCTAGTACATAGAGAATCTTTTCTATCATCAGCTTTCCTAGCTAATTATAATTAGTGGTACTCAGTTTGTGAATTTTCAAGTTCATAAGCAAAATGAGGAACTTGATGAAGGTTTTTCAGTTTATATTTTACTGATTATCCCACAGGAAAAAGGTCGGCCACTACCAAAGTTTGGTGAATGGGATGTCAATGATCCAGCTTCAGCTGAAGGGTACACGGTGATTTTTAACAAAGCCAGGGATGAGAAAAAGACAGGTGGCAAACCTGAGTCACCTGGAAAGGCTGATCCTCGTACAAGACCTCCATTAGAACCTGGCAAAACTCCGAGTGTAAGACGTTCTTGAGTGTTTAGCTGTGTCTTCTGCACAAATGCTAATTGTGATATAATAGATATATCTGTACATGTCTGTGTGTTTGTTTTTGTGTGTATCTGTATTTTTTTTTTCCGGTTAACTATGTATGTAGTTTTTGAAAGAATTGAGAAACAACAGGATGGCAGTCTGAGTGACCTAAATATATACGGTGTCAAGATAGGCCTCGATGAGAAAGCCTTGGCCAATTTGATCCAAGACCCTTTGAAAATTTGAAATAATGATTTAGTTAACAAACTTTGATGATTTCCCCCTCTCCTCTCTCTCTTTTTCTGTGTGGCACTGGTGGTAACCACATCTGATATTTTTATCTCTTTATTAAGGATCTATAGTCTTTTACATTTGAAGTTAATAAAATATATGCATTCCATATTACCTGGATGTCTGTTAATGGTGAATGAACATTTTACTTTTTGTCTCTATAGTCAGCTGATGTAGCTCAGGGATCATTTGTTGAACTTACAGTCAATGAAGTTTATTCCTGCACAGATAACTCCAGGAGAAGATGCGTCTTTCTTTTTCTTTTTTCTGGGGTGGGTGGGTAGTGGGATATGACCAGTTTTCACCTTACAGCATTTGATTTTGGTAGATTTTAGATTGTCAAATGGTAATTGAATCATTAAATAGATGCTGGGCACTCGAATTAATTCACAAGCTTTATTTATTTTTTCCCTCTCATGAATGACTCAATTGCTTTTCAGAAAAAATGGTTTTGCTGCATACAAAATCCTCCTGCAGAATCATAGCAACGGTTGGTCCTGTGTAAAAGGTTGAACAGAAGACAATGTTTATGTGTAATTAGCTCTCAGTGTTTTCTCAGGGATGGGAGCTGTAGAGCCTTAAAATGAATTCTGCTGGAATTTAGTTTATGTGCTGTAAAAGTGAGTTGCCGGGGGGGAGAGTAAAGAAAACACTATTATATGTACGTATCTATATCAATGTTGTGGTTTATTGTTAGGAGCGGGTTGCTTCCTTTTTTGCGGTGTCTTGTACTTGCGCTATGGGGTATAGAAATTTGCTTGTTACATTTTATTCCTTGTTTAAACAAATTTTATTTGATGAACTGATATTATTCCTTTGGTTTCATTGCTTGGATAAAACTTACTTGATGTGTACCTTTCCATCGATTTTGTGATTATGGGATATTATTATCTGGTTATTCTTTCCCAGTTACTAAATTCTATTTCATCCAATTTGGGAAAGAACTATTTTGGCTCAGAACACATCATTTACTCATTTTCCCGCATGAACTTTGTGCCCAAATACATGTTTAGCATGCAAATGAACACTTTCTCAATGGAGCTGAGAATGAAAACCTAGGCTATCAAGTCTTGTTTAGTTATCAAATTTAAATCGATCGAATTCCAACTGTGTAAACTTTTTGAGACAAAAGATTAAATCATATTTTGGTATAGTAATATAGATTAGGGGCTTTTATTCAAATTTATGCATGCTCAACTTAAACAACCTGATTTATCTTACAATAAAGATATTATTAATAATGAATATATATAATCAATGATTTGGGGTGTCAAATGATCAATAATATGTGTGCAGTGGTATAGTATTGAGAAACACTACACCTTCCTTAACGTATAAAAAAATTCAGTATTACAGCGAAAGTTCAATAAAAGCAGTCATTGGAAAAATAGTCCCTAAAGTGGTTTCACCAGACAAACTCAAAGTGACTTATAAGTATTAACAGAGAATACGTTTAATTTTGTCAGTTCAATTTTTTGAAGAAGATGCATGCACCTAGAGCCAATGCTGTGGATTTAATAGCAAGAGAGGTTGGCAATCTGCCCTTGTCCTTCCTCAAGAAAAGGCCTTGGTATATAGGAAGATTGATGAGAACCAGGAATCCACACAATAGAACTTGCATCATCATTTTTTGACCAGCTCTAAGGCCTCCTTCGTTAAGGACTAACTCCTTTAAAACGCCAAGTAAACAAAACAGATTGAGCAATGCCAGTGTTGCTAATACAGTGAAATATGGAGAAGAGACTCCAAACTCCATAACTTCTTTCTCGTAACCTTGGGAAGCGTCTTCTTCTGCGATCTTAGCTGTGACTGTAAAGGGTGAATCTGAACGCCCAAAGAACTTTAAGACATTGTCCATGAAAGCAAATAAGTAAGAGCTTGTTCCCTTGTAGAGCCACATCCTTAGGTCATTCCACCAACCCTGGATTGTGCCTCCGATGAACAAAAACTCAATCAAACTAAAAGCACTTCCCCCGAGTATGACATATGCGAAAGGGATGAACCATGGGCTAGACATCTGTTAAACCCATCAATCAAAAACAATATATTACTTGCATTCTCAATACAAAAAGTACTCATTTGCTTAGAAAAACTATATACATGCATACACATATATATTGAAAAACTATTTGTTCTTTTAAATATATAAGTTTATCTCCTTTCACTCCCTTATAATTATGTATTCCGGAGAATACATAGTTATAGTATTAAAGGGAAAAAAGTTTCTGATGTTACTTTAGATAATTTTGTCTAATGTTCATCGAAACGACGTCGTTTTGATGTTAAAAAATTATAATGATAAAGACTATTATAACCCTGAAATAAATTAAAATTACAAAAACACCATGATTTCTGTCCTAAAACGACGTCGTTTCGATGAACATTAGATAAAGTTATCTAAAGTAACTTTAGAAAAAACAAACCCAATATTAAAATTACTTTTTTTTCTCTCTTTAAAAACTTTTCAAAATCTTGTCGGCATAAGTGGAGAGAAAAAAAAAATAACTTCTATATATTACCCGAAACACATGGTTATAAGGGGTGAAAGAACATAAGCTTATATCCTTTAAAAGTATAAACACTGAACCCAATAAATATATATATATATATATATATATATATATATATATATATAACATAGTAGAACTCATCAATTACGGGTCATTTAAGGATACATATCTTGATTTTGAGAAAATATTTTAATTCATTAAAAAAATTCCACTTCAGTTTCTTATTCACTTTACATAACAAAAAAATCACATCTATAAATCCCAAAGTGAAATAAAAAAGAAATTGATGTAACAGCAATTAATAACTAAGCCTTATCCACTTAAGGATTTTTTGGGGGAAGAAATTGTTGTAAGGAACTTGTGAATATCTTAATCATTACCTCTGGAAACAAGGGAATGCCTTTCAGGAGATAAAGTGAAGGGATGATTGAGTAATATAGTTTTGGCAAACAGGTGATTGCCCAAAAGTTATAGTAGCAATATCCCATTTGGAGGCCTAAACTGATCCTTCCATGACCGTACAATGCAGGACTGTACTTGGAAAAAAAAATTTGTAACTCCCCTTCAGCCCACCTCTTCTGCTGAACAAGTGTTTGAAGCAAGGTGGTTGGAGCTAGACCATAAAAAGCCTTCCTTGGTGGGTTGTAATACACTGATTTCCATCCTTGCAATTGTATTGACAACCCTGTTATCACATCCTCCACTAGACACCCATATTTGCTACCCATCTACAATAAAAACAAATTATACTGCTAAAATGTTTCATTGCACATTTCCTCGTTTAACATTAGCCTATAGTGGTGTTTGTGCTTGTGAAAGTAGAGAGATTGATAAGCCACCTCTTTTCCCCATGCAGTGTTTTCCTCGTAGGTGCAGCTTGCTAGAGCTTTTGATTCTTCTACTAGTTCGTGCAAGTTTGCTTCTATTAAATGGTCATTCTCTTCATTCCAATCATTCTTGTATCGACCACTGAACTTCCTCCCACAGAAAGCGTCTCTCCTATGAAAGCAGCAAGTTCCAATATACAAAGGGCCACCATAACCGTCCAGACCATGCAATTCCACCTACATATACATGTGATGTTATTTTTTCAAAAATTATCATAGTGGTTACGGTAATAGCATAGTGCTATTTTATCCGCAATAAATATAGGGAAAAGTATCTCTGCCTCTATGGCAGAGTAAAGTTGTCTAATGCAGACACATTTTCGTCAGGATCTGCATGTGTATCCTGGCAAAGATGTGTTTGCGTCAAATAATTTTATCTGTCGTTACGGCAGATTCGAGGGACCCATAAATATATATTTTTCACTAAAGCATGTAAGTTTCAATAAGATATACTATCTTAGAATTATACTCCTAAGTCTATCTGCCAATCAAATAAAACAAAACTAGAGGCAGGGCAGGTTGAAGAATTTAATCTTTGTACAACTTTTGATTCCATCAATATTAACTAACCTCCATAATTGTGATTAGAGCACTCCCGTATAAATCATTCTTTGTGACATTCTCAAAATTCTGTGGAAACTGCACAAAAGCAATTTCATGGCCTTTCTCTTCATCCATGAAAAAACAAAGAGCATCTCTCACTGATTGTGAACCGTTTGAGTACATGTCACAGTCTAGAGTTAGAATGATTTTTGCGTTGCTAATCTTTGAAGACACTCTTAGCTGCATTTAGGTCCAAGCAATAATGTGATCTTCATTGCATGCACATGGACAGATAATATTTCATAAAAGGTACTGCTACTCAATGTTACATAGTAGCATGGATCAATGTTACGATTGTAACCATCATCAATGCTACCATCATAACCATCACACACATAATTAGGCACACGCTCATACACAGGATTTATTGATCAATAACAATGTGTGTCAAAGCAAATAATTTGTACTGCAAAACTACAAGAGTGATTGAATAACTCGATACAATGTGCTCTTTTCTGTGAATCTAACTTTGTACTAGTTGGCACCATATTATACTCTTTCGTTAAATTTTAATCTTACAAGCCTTATGAAAGGAGGGTTTTATATACACACACACTACCAATGAATTGATAGCACCGGCTTTGAACTTGTGGTGATATTGGGGTCTCTTCTCACGAGCCAAATACACCAGAGTTGGCAACACAAACCCATCTACATCTTTCGAATTATCCGGGTCACTTTTATGAAGTAGTATCTGGTATTAAAATCAAAGCACAAGAGCAAAAAACACATCAGGCATATGGTGCCATAAAAAACATCATGCATGCACTGAATTGAGCTCAAAACTAATGTGAAAATTGGGATATACACGGTATACATTTAAGAAGTAGGTAACATCTCTGTTTTACTTTTATTTTTATAAGAGAGACAAAAGTTATTTACTAATTTTATGTAGAACCACGACAATTTTGTTAAGGGTTTGATATTTTTCATGTCGTAGGATATAAAATTATTTCTTATACATATATACAAGTTTGTGATGCTCGTATGAACTCATGTAAAAAGAAAAGAAAGAAAAAGAATACACAGATTCTATACAATTTTATTATGTGTATGTAAGAGATAATTTTATCTCCTATAATATGAAAAATATTAAACTTTTTTTTAATAAAAAATTTTTTAAAAAAAAAACTTGTTTATGAACTATATATTATGAATAACGTGTTGATGTATCATTAAAGTCTGAGAAAGTTGTTATCAAAAAAAAAAAAAAGTCTGAGAAAGTAATCCACCTGAAGGATTGTGTCGTGGTCACGTCGAGAAGAATATGAACCCCACTGAGAAAATCCATTATGCTTTGAGCGTACTTCGCCGGGTACTCTACCCAACTTGGCTGCATCTTCGATTCGTCTTTTCATATCTTCGTATAATTTCTACAACAAAAAATGGACACAATATAGTGAGAAGGAAATAGACAACCTTTACAAAAGAGAGGGAGGACGTAACCTTAATCAATACATTAACCCCTTTAGGTTGATAAAATATTAATTCATTAAAAATAATGTTTATATATATATATATATATATATATATATATGCATTCTTTAGTATTAATGGAGACACAAAAATTACACTATTAACTCAAACTGTCTTACATCTTTCACTGGGATATTAATTTAAATACACAACAATATTAATTGATCATATGAATAATAATTGATTAAAATAAATAACAGATTTTCCTGAGTTTATTTGAATTACACTTTACCTATTTTTTTATTTAACTTTCTTTTTTTTTTTAAATTCTATAGTACTCTTTTGATTAGATTTTTTCTATACAATCCCTTTAGACACCATTTTTCCATAAAGAAATGTGTGATTTCTATCAAACAAAAATATAAATGTGACTTAGATCGATACTCAATCCACCAACAAATAAGCATACATAGAAGAAGATATAAATTAATGAGGTGTTAATTAAAGAAGTTCGACAATAACATCATTGGTGTTAATAACTATGTCCAAACAATTTGAACGTTTAGATCTTAATGAGTTACTTTCTCTATAGGAATTGATTCATTTAGTCAACTTTTCGTTTATCTCAACTGCGTGATATAGGTCGAATTTAAGAATCTTTTAAGAATAAGTAACATGTAATTTCAAGGTAAATTTTAATAAAGAAAAAGTTACTGTATATATATGTACCTTGATGGCTGCCAAGTCTTCGGCATGATTCTGGTCATGTGGATAATTAGTTGCTGAGACAAGGCTATGAAAATAAGCATCAGGTGACCTAGGTTCCACCTTGAATCTCTTGCAGAATGGCAACCAATGCTTTGCAAATCTAGAAGCTTCTAAAAGAGCATAGAAAGTGATATCTGCACCAGCATCATCCGAGAGATAAACATTGAGCTTCTCAGCTGGATAGTCATAAGCCATAACAGATAACACTGTATTAATCACCATCATTGGTGGTTCAATATCTGGATCAGCCGTGCACACAAATATGTCCACTCCTGGTAACCTACTCTCATATCTGTCACAAATTACAAAAACTCACATATTACATATATATCCAAGGCATGAAAGCTATAAAATAAAACACACACACACACAAACAAAAAACATATGCACAAGACTCCTTAACTTGCAAAGATATAGATAAGTGTCAATTGTAGAGAGTCTTATCTTTATATTTTTATAAAAAAGACTTTTCGGTCACAAACAATCACTTTACTAATGTTATTTCGATATAAAAATAAAAATAAAAAATGAGTAGAACATTCACCTTTGAGAGAGTCTGTTGTTGAAGGTTTTTCTGAATACAAGGTTCCATCGGAGGGCTTGAACGAAGAGCCAGTATAGGCCGAAGCATAGTTCAGCACCAAGCAAACCAAGCCAAGCCCATTTCCCATTTTCACCGTTTATGGGTATGTGGCTAAATCTGTAAGCCAAGATGAAGCATATGGAACCAAACAAAGAGACGGAGAAGAGCCTGTAGATGAGTCTTCCTCTGCCTCTTGTGGTCTCAAACAATGGATAATATTCACCGCTGTCCATTTCCTTCGCTTCTGTCTTCTTGTTTCTTTACCTCTTATATATATGTAGTTTAGTTCATTCAATTTTATTTATTTAGAATTCTGTGACTCTGACTGTGACCGTGACTGGAGCTTCAATTATTGCTATTCATCGTATATGGCCACAACACAATATTATCTTCTTAATTATATGTTTCTCAAAGATTAATGTTTCATTTTTATTTCATTTTATTTATTTAGAATTTTTTGACTGGAGCAATTGATCGAGTTCGATTACTGCTATTCATTATGACGAATGAGCTGATCACCAATGATTGCTAGCGTTTTACATAATAATACTTACGATGAAGAAAAAATAATAATATGGTTATAGTTTAGAAAATAATATTTGTAAATTTTATTTAGGTTGGGAATATTTGTATTTAAACGCAAATTAATCTGACTAACGTCTACAGCAAAAATGAAGAATATCAATAGGAAGCAATTTTGAATATATATGACTCGCTTACGACAAGAAAAATTTGTGTTCAATAGACTTGTTTCAAATTCATGTCCGATTGGCAAAATTTGACTTGAAAAAATTTGTGTTGCGTTGCATGTTAATCTATCAACTTGAAATTGACTTACATTAATTTTTTTATGGGTTATTCATATCGTATCATGTCGTGTCATAAATAGGTTATTCGTGTCTTATCGTGTCATGTCAACCCGCATTGTTCTATCTTGGAGACAGAGATATCCAGCCCAATAGACTAGTATGTTAATCTTGGATCTAGTGCCCTCTCCAAGGTATCTAAGAAAGAGATACTCTTGAGCCAAGCAGATCACTGTGCACACAGTAAACTAATAACGGCTTTAGCCGATGGAGTGTGTGAGTGCGCACAGTGACAACATAACAATAAGCGAGAGAGCGTAACGTACATTTAGGGTATACCTTTTATTTATAGAGGTTACCAGTGGGTAATATGATATGGGCCTTTAGTGCCTCTGATGAGGGCCCAAGCCAGTTTGCTTGCTATGCTGTCGTATTAGGATTAGTATCTTTGATGGATACTATCCGTAATTATAATTCATTCAGATTTTGGATTGGCCTTTATTGGGCCTGCCATTCAATGGGCCCCTTATACGAGTTCATAACACGCATAATAGGTAACACAGTTTGGGATTGACTGATTATTCATGTTGTGTCATATAGTGTCAACTCGCATAATAAGCGATACAATATAAGATGGCGGATTATTTGTTTCGAGTCGTGTCAACCCACAAAATAAGTTGATCGTGTTCGTATTAAGGTTTTGATCTAATTTTAAATTTATGTCGTGTTCGTATTCGTATTCGTATTCGTGACCAATTCATCGTATGGATCTGAATTGTCATTCTATGCCAAGAGCAAACATATAAATATTTCCTTTATTATTATAACGTTGAATTAGACTCTTATTTTTGCTAAGCTTATAATGATGATCGTTTTCTCTATTATAGGAATATTCATAGAAAACTGCTTTGGACTTAAAGAAGAAACTGACAGAATTAATGAATAAAAATGGTCTTTGGCTCATTTGAGTTCAACAATGCTTTGAACCGTATTAGTAAAAAAGAATAAACTGGTTGAGAAGACTCAAAAAAATAATTAATGAATAAAATTTAAATTTAGAATATAATTTAAATCTAGGAGAATTCTCTCATCAAGGAATTATGGTTTAAAAATTTAATCAAAAAGATTATTAGAGAGATAATTCTAATTTAATTATAATAATTAATTGTAACCCGAGAGTTGGCTCATGTGACCATATAAACACTACTGATAAACAAGATGCCAAAAGAGAATCGTTTCAAATCTTGCAGAAAACTCGATTCTATTAAAGTGGTAGATTTATAAGGAAAAAAGATATGTCATATTAAAAGACACAAAGTTATGTCATTTTAAGTGAGAGAAAGAAATAAATTATAGAAAATAAAGTAGGAAGAAAAAGTTTTAAAGGTACGAGTCTCATCTCTTTATAAGTTAGAATTATTTTCATCCGTATAGATAATTGCAAATAAGGAAGGATCAACAAGAATCCTCAAAGAAGCTAACATTTGGAATACTCAATGTTCGTTTTTTGAAAAAACTAAGGGCTGTTTGAAATCAATTCTGAAAAATAATTTTTTAATTTTCAACAAAAAAAATTGTTTAATAATAATGTCTGTTTTGTAAAAAACAAAATTAAAAACTATACTTTTTTTTAAATCAAATTTAGAAAATATGTCTAAGTTGTTTTTTTTTTATTTTATGTTTTGACTTTTAGTTTTCAAAATAAGAAAAAATATCAATTTTATTAACTATTTTATAAAATAATTTTAAGAGAAAAGAATTCAGAACACAATCAAATAGACATAATAGTGGCTAGATATGTTTTTAGATTCTTGGGAAGCAAAGTACTTTAAAGATAACTAAAGCTCACATTTAAAGCATCAAGCCAAAAAAAAAAGAAAGAAAGAAGGAATTGATAGAGATTTTTATCACTGGTGCGCCACACTTCCAATACTAGCAAATGAAAGGTGCTACTAAACAGGCCAACGAAGCCAAGACAATGGACTTGAGCATGATTGAGGATGATATGCACCCTTTATCACTACGGATGAAAAGAGCCTCATACACTGGCAAATTGACCATTACCATTAATGAACTCAGCATAATCTGCATCATCAATTGGCTTGACCTGTTGAATTCCAAATCCATCACAATCCTCTTAATTCCCCCAACAAGACCAAAAAGGTTTAGCAATGCCACTGTTGCTATTATGGTTAACGCGATTGAAGAGCTTCCAAAATCAATTACCTCTTCCTCATATCTCTTTTGAACTTCCTCCGTGACCACCTTATCTGTGATGTCAAAGTTTGTCTCTGATAGTCCTAATTGTTTGGTCACGGTGTCAATGAAAGCAAAGAGATGCGAGGTGGTCCTTCGGAAGAGCCTCATTCTTTGCAAGTTCCACCAACTCTTTACTGTGGAACCACAACTCAAATGCTCACATAAGCTAAAGGCATTGGTGGCAAGAAATGCATATGCAAAGGAAAGGAACCATAGGCTTGAAAGCTGCAAAGTGAAAACAACATATAGTTGAGGTAAATAAGTGCAAGAAAATTAAGGAATCAAAGATCATATTTACAGCATGAGAGAGACAACCTGTGGGAACAATGGAATGCCGTGAAATAAGCAAATAGGAGGAACAATGACATAACAGAGAGTAGGAAGGGACATAGGAGCCCATAAGAGGTAAATACAGTATCCCATTTGAACACCCAAGTTTATCTTTCCATGTCCATAGATGAAAGGGCAATACTTGGAGCAGAAAATCTGGAACATTCCTTCTGACCACCTCTTGTGCTGAACAAGAGCTACATCTAAGGTTGTTGGAGCTACACCCATGAAAGCCTTTCTCTCTGGATTGTAATAAATCGATTTCCAACCCCTGCATGAGATAGCAAGTCCTGTAGCAATGTCTTCCACAGGAATACCATATACTAATCCCATCTGCAAAATTCATATGCCTTATCAATTATTAAAAATTTTAGAGGTAAAAAGCTGGGAAAGGTTATATTTACAAACTTTTACAAACTACACTAAGTATGACCGGTCATACTTCATCAAGAGTGTAAAACCGGTCATACTTAGTGTAATTTGTAAAAAAAACTTGTAAACGAATCTTTCCCGAAAAAGCTAAACACAAACCTCCTTCCCCCATTGAGTGCCTTGCTCATATGTGCAAGTGACAAGAGCCTTTGATGCTTCATTCAATTCATTGACTGTTCTGTTATCTTCTCTTTTAGGCTTATTGTAGCATTTTGTTCTGTAATCTCTCAAGGAAGTTCCTGACAAACTTTCTCTTCGATGGAAACATCCGGTTCCACAATACAAGGATGCACCATATCCACATATGCCAGCTAGCTCAAACTTTATATGCACATAAGAAAATCAAACCCAATATTAGGTGTTAGTCCATCCTTATATATATACATCTATAGGCTCAAAGTAGTTACATTATTTTATCACCCACCTCATTGACCACAGGAACTGAATTGGAATAATGATCATTCTTGGTGATGTTATTATAGCTCTGCGGATATTGCACAAAAGCTATCTCGGGGCCTCTTGTTTCATCCATGAAGAAACATAGTGTTTCTTGAATTGTATCTGCATTATTTGGGTACATATCACAGTCCAAGTTGAGGATGAAAGGGGCGTTGCTTATCTCTGATGACACTCTAATCTGCAGAACGAAGCTTTGATATGATTATAAAGCCAAATAATAGTGAAAAACGTCTTTGCATTTGAATGAAATGTACAGTTTTAAAATAAGATCAATATGCAAAACAAAATAAGTGGCAACTTTCCCCAATTAATTTAAAAAGGTTTTCTGCCACTTTATTTTCAGTCTACTAAGTGTAAAGTATAATTGAAGTATTAAACTCATTTTTAGATGGAAAAGTGAACTTAGTGTTTTCTTTTCTTTTCTGTTAACTTGTATTGGTAGGCTAATCAACTTGGATCATCAGCATAAAAACATAGATTGATCAAAGATCATTATTAACCAGAGCATTCATAGCTCCTGCTTTGAAATGGTGAGGGTGGTTGGGTCGTTTCTCGCGTGCCATGTATACGAGTGTTGGCAATTGAATTCCATCTTCATCTACAGCATTTGTGTCCCTACCATCGATTATGATCTGCAAAATAACATGAAGAACAAGTGTTACATTGAAAAATAAGTTATAAAAGACTATAATAGTCTGTTAATTTCATTTGTTTTTCTCCTGAAAATTAAGACGGTGATACCTGCACAATAGGCTGGTGGTCCTGCTTTGTCGTCTTAGGATTCCATTCTGAGAATTCTCTGTGTTCATTCCTTTCATTCTCTGGAATCTTGCCCTTTGCTACAGCCGATTCAATCTCACCTTTCATGTCTTCATATAATTTCTGCCATGAAAATTATTTAATGGAATATCGTGAAACTGTCCATCAAAGAATATTGTAATGCATGTACCATTGTGCACATTGCACGTAATTGTATTTTTTGTTTAAAAAACCAAACGATACAATGATACATGTCTAATTAAGGAGATTTTATTTAACATCATACGGTCGAAAATGCTGAACAGATAAAGTCAAATTGGTGGTTTAATTAAGTCATTAAACAATTTTTTTTCTTTAAAGAATGTCTTTGACCTAGTGGATGGTCAGCTACTGCAAGCGAAGTTGTTAAAATAAGAAGAAAAAAAACTGAAATAGAGACACTACTACAGTTGTGTAAAGTTCTCCCAAAAAAATGTGTAGCATTTAAATTAAGGGTTATATTTATCTCATTTTACATGAGATAAATAATTTTTTTACACACACAACAGAAGGGTGAGTCTCACCACTTTTTTTTTCTCTTTCCTCTTACATGTGAATCTCACTTGTAATTTTATTTCTACAACATGAGATAACTTCTTTCCTACAACATAACAAAAGTATTTTCCTTAAATTAATTGAAGATTTGTTAAAGGATGTATCTTCGGACACATCGTAAGTAGGGGTGTGCAAAAAAACTGGTTCACTTGCCCTGCCCTTGATCCGACCTTGACCCGACCCATAAATACCCATATTTTTTGAACTGGTTTACATACTGACTCACTTTTATTTGGGTCAGTTTTAGACCTGACTCGTTTTAATATTGACCCACTGACCCAAAACTTGACTCATACCCATCATGTGAATTTTTTTTTTCACAATTACATTAAAAGAAAAGTTTTAACGTAAAACAATTATGTCAAAATTTCAAATGAAACATTTTCCTCAAAACAATTTCCATTGAAAATTTCGACGAAACATATTTTCATCAAAAAATTTCGACGGCAAAAAATTTCATTAAAATTCTTTACAGGTTTCAAATTTCGGCGAAAGTTTTCGACGGAAATATTTTCGTCATCAAAAAATTTTGATGGCAAAAAATTTTGACGGCAAAAAATTTAATCAAAATTCTTTATAGATTTCAAATTTTGGCGAAAGTTTTCGACGGAAACATTTTCGTCATCAAAAAGTTTTGACGGCCAAAAATATCGACGACAAAAAATTTCATCAAAATTCTTTACATATTTCAAATTTCGGCAAAAGTCTTCGACGGAAATATTTTCGTCATCAAAAAATTTTGACGGCAAAAAATTTCGACTGCAAAAAAATTCATCAAAATTCTTTACACATTTCAAATTTCGGCGAAAGTTTTCGACGAAAATATTTTCGTTAAATTTTTGGACAAAAAAAACTTTTCGTCGAAATTTTTAGCGAAATACATTTCCATCGAAAATTTTCAACTAAATATTTTCGTCAAGTTTTTTGATAAAAAATTTCCATCAAAATTTTTAACGAAACACATTTCTATAAAAAATTCCGTAAATTTTTTTGACAAAAAAAACCTTTTGACGCAAAAAATATTCTGTCAAAATTCTTTAGAGAATCTAAATTTCGTCGAAAGTTTCAAATGAAACATTTCCCTCGAAATAATTTCCGTCAAAATTTTCGTCAAAACACATTCCCATCCAAATTTTGAACGAAAAATATTCCGTCAAATTTTTTGACAAAATTCTTTTTTCGATTAAAACATTTGATGGAAGAAATCATTTTCGTCAAAACTGTTGACGGAAACTAAATTTCAATAGAAAATTTTTTTTTTTGTAAAAATTTCGACGAAAAAATAATTTTGTGACGAAATTTTCGTCTTTTGCAACGTAAAAATTTCGACAAAATTTTGTGAGAAAACCAAGTCAAAAATGGGTCAGGTCAGATTTGACCCACTTCAGAAACCAAGTCAGATCAGATCCAAATTGGTTCTGAACTAGTTCAACAAAATCCAATCCAAGTCAGACCTGACTTGGATCAAATTAAAGCGGGTCGGGTCAAAATACCTGACCTATAAAAATCAAGTTGGGTCGAGTCGGACAAAAACCTGACCCGACCTGACCCATGCACAGCCCTAATCGTAAGAGATAAAAGTAACTTGTATTGCTTAGCATAACTATTTAAATAAAAAATATTTAATACTTTTTAAAATTTTAAATATTATATATTTCATTTAATATTCTTTTATTTGTTAACGAAACCCTTAAATTAAGAAGGCTCACCAACCATCATTGGTTCAAGTTACAAAGAGTTTATTCCCTATAACAAAATATCCAGAATAAGTCCTTGGAATAAATAAATAAAAAAAGAATATTAGGAGAACCGCCTCCAATATAAGTCTAATAATAATACTCAAACCGGATTAAATCGGTTTAGATTAAAACAAAAAATACTCAATTTTAAATGTTAAACTCTTAGAATTTCATGTGATCACACACACGTTACTCAAACATTAGCTTATTGCTTAAGAAAGGATATTCATTCTATATGGTGTAAAAAAAGGCAATTACCTTGATAAATAACCATGCTTGGCGATACTCAATGCTACTAGTGCTACAATTTTGGCCGGCAAAGTAAGCCTCCGGTGACCTGGGTTCAACATTGAATCTTCTGCAGAATGGCACCCAATGTTTTGAGAAAACGGAGGCCTTTAAGAGAGCATAGAATGTTAGCTGAGACCCTCCATCGTCAGAGAGATACACACTCAATTTATTCGAAGGATAATTGTACGCCATCGCCGATAATACTGTGTTAATCACCATGCATGGAGGCTCGAGTATTGGGTCAGCTGTACACACAAAAATGTCCACCGCTGGTAAATTGTCTTCATCATATCTGTCAAATGTGCCAAAAAAAAAAAGTTAGTATTTTCACTATTGTACACATAACATTGATAACAATGACTTGAAAAAATAAAATACGGCTAATGCCTTGTGCCCATAATAATCCCACAGTTTAATTAGGCTTATGTGTTTTCAGAGTAATCGCGAATAATGAAGATTATACATATTTAAATTAAATTACATAGCTTGAACTCTGGCCATGATAAGTCATCATCAGGCAATATGTTGGGTCACACTATCCTCATATAATAGAATTCTCTCATAAATATATATATTGCCGCAAACGATTATTTACTATTTTTTGTACCCCACATTATTATTATGAGAATGGAATCTGAGACATTAATTTACCTTAATCCGATCCCTATCTTTATTTTCCTTATGTATATATATATAATATGTTTCCATACTGAATACACATTTTGTGTAAGGGTGATAATTTTCAAAACGATTCGCTCACATAACACAAGCATAATACAATCCGTTTTTAACTTCATGTTATGTTGTGTATCAATATGCAAAAACAAAATCAACCCAAGTTAATCTTCTTGCAGATTATTTATGTCATGTCGTGTGAACACAATATTGGTGAAAATAACATTTAGTATAATGCATTATAAGCAACACATTTTGAATTTGGCTTATTATTTATGTCGCGTTGTGTCAACATATATGATAAGCAAAACACTTTGAGACTAGTTGGCGGGTTACTCGTGTCATACCGTGTATAGACACAAAATAAGTGGTACATGTTCATGTCGAAAGTTTAATTTGATCCATTTTAAAATTTGAATTGTATTCATATTAAATTTGTATCATGTCAGGCTAAATAGTCAGGAACATCAACCAAAATGTCACTGTTTGGCAAAAATTTTATCCAAATATCACGCGAACAGTAATTTTTATCAGACTGTCACGAGACGTAATTCGCTACGAGTGGTAGGAAATTACGTTCGCCAATAATTTTGTGACATGTGGCATATTTTCGCAGAAAAAAGCTAACTGGATGAAGTTCGCTATTAGTGATAGCAAATTTGGTACGAAATGTGGTCACATGTCACGAAATCATAAGCAACGAAGTTCGCTACCAGTCATAGCAAATTACGTTACGTGACAATCTGGTAAAAAGTATTGTTCGCATGATATTTGAGTAAAAAATTCACCGAACAATGGCACTCTGATCACTATTCTGAATTGTCACCTCTAAATTTATCACATGTCAATTTTATTTCTAAAATAATGTAATTTTCTTTTCAAATTACTAAAATAGTGCAATTTTTTTAAAAAAAAGTAATCAGAATAGGAAAAGTCGTTAATAAGAAATATAACTCATTTTTATAAGTCATCTCTGCTAAGTATAGTTTTTTTAATATTTATTTTTATATTTAAAATACTTTTAAATTTTTACCAATAAATTTTATATATGAAATGCAACCTATATATAAGTCATATTTCCTATATATGACTCCGGTTATTTTTTGAAAAAAAAAATAGGCTGTATAAAAACAGAAAGAAGGACATTTAATACGTTTGATGTCAACATTGGAACCCTAGAATTCGAATATATGCGTAACTTACATATATTTCATACACCCTCACATCTCAGAAAATAATTTTTGATAATCTCGTAATATTCAGTATATTTTTTATTAAATTTGATAATGTAATATGATCAAATTTTCTCATTTTACCCATTTTTTATAATTATTGTCATCTAATCCCATTTTTTTTTTCTATTTTTAATAAATGTATGCATATTTTCATGGGAAATGATATATTTACTACTTTTTTCTAAATATCAAATCAAAACCGTTGATTTCTGACAATTTATCAGTTATAATTTATTAAAAATTAATAATTAATTTATAAGTATAACTCAACAAATTATAATTAGATTGACGGAAATTAACGATTAAAATTTAATAATAAAAATTAGTAAAAAAAAATTAATAATAAATATAACTTCCCTACCAAAAATACGTTACACATTTCAACACGTAGTGTTAGCTCTGCTACATCAAATGTAAATCCCTCTAAAAATGTTGAGTCCTATCTTTCCTTAAGCCTTAACTTAATCAGAGGAAGTTGTCATCCAATAAGATACGACTTCACATATTGACAAATAACCAAGGGAAAAAAAAAATCACCGTTCATAAAACGTTTCATTTTTTTTTATATATTTTTTCTTAATTTATAATAGGGATTTGCATTTGTCATTTAACATGACACAACAAACTTTTCTACACACACAACATTTTGTGAGCCCCACACTTTTTGAAGAAAAAAAAACTACTGCACGCAAAACGAATCTCTATAACATTACACAATCATTCTTCTTGCAACATAACTCTTATAAAATCTTTTATAATATTACATCGATCTTAAATTTTCTTCGATATTTTTAACATTCAGGAATAAATATTAGAAAAAGGTTATACTTACAATCTTTCTTTTTTTACAATCTCTTACAACCATATCTTAACATTGTTGATTTTCGTCAATCAACGGTTATGATTTTCGCAAATTAAACTCATTAATTAATTATTAAGGGTTTGTTTTTTCTGATGTTACTTTAGATAACTTTATCTAATGTTCATCAAAACAACGTCGTTTTGGGACGAAATTCATGGTATTTTTGTAATTTTAATTTATTTCAGGGTTATAATAGTCTTTATCACTCTAATTTTTTAATTTTTCAACCCCAAAACGACGTCGTTTCGATGAACATTAGATAAAGTTATCTAAAGTAATATCGGAAACTTTTTTCCCAATTATTAATTCACAATAAATGATAACCGTTGATTGGCGAAAATCAACGGTGTTAAAATATGGTTGTAAGAGATTGTAAAAAAAAAAGATTGTAATTATAACTTTTCTCTAATTATTATATCCTAATTAAATATGTTTTTCTGCCAATCATTTACCATTATTTAAAAAAAATTATTTTAAAAAATTATTTTTTTTCAATATTCGATAAAAAAATAAAAAAAAACAATGTTCGGAAGAAAACTGACTTTAATTTCCAAATTTTATTAAGAAAAAGAAAAGACCATTAAGAAAAAAAAAATCTAAATCAACTTCTCGATGAGAAATCTAAATTTTTTTAAAAAAAAGTAATTGAAAAGTCAAGTTAACATGAATTGACTTCTCAATACAATACATATTATTTTATTAAAATTTAAAAAAATAGAGAAATGAATAAACATTAAATAAGTAATTTTATTAATTTTCATTGGTGATGCTCTCATAAAAAAAAAAATTACTATTTGAAAGGTAATCGTTGGGTCGTCAAAGGAGGCTAAGGTAGGGGGAGAATTATTATTAATAGATTAGACGGCATTCTATTATAAAAAATGTGTTTTACAGTATATCTCAATTTAAAAAATTTAAATATTAGATTTATTGATTTTTCCACTTATACAATCCTTATTTAGTTTAATTTTAACAATATACTCCTAACATTTTCCTATATAATAGTGGGCACAAATTGACGTGGGCCCACTGTATTTAAAAAAAAAAAACTAGAAGTATATGCAGGAAAAAATTTCTTTCTTGTGTAGAAGAAGATATACAACATTTCCCATAACAAATGTTGTAAAAATCCAACCAGATCGAAATCGCTGATATCATAAAAGAATCGGTTCTGCACTTGAACCGTACAAAATTGATAAACCGCACCTAAATCGAGTTTAACTAAAATACCAAATTAGCATCGATTTTAAACTGTTTTATATTATTTTGCATAAAATATTTGACAGATGTCAGTGGTGGAGATCGAACCAAACACAAGATTAGATACTTAAAATAAAACTTATAACTAGTTCAACTTTATTAGTTAAAAATAATACTTGTAATTTTAAAGAGGATAAAGAGAGAACCTGAGTGAGAGGGTATCTTTGAAAGGAGTTTGATAGACAATTCTCCAACGAACAGACTGAGTGATGATCCAGTACAATCCAAAAGCCACCTCCGACACCAAAAGAATGATCCAAGCCCACCTGCCTTCACCTTTACCTGTTGGCATGTTTGTTAATCTGTACAACCAAATCAAACCGATACCTCCAAGTATTGTTGTTGCTAACATCTTGTACACTCCTCGGAATCTTGCTTCTTTTGTCTCAAACAAAGGAACCCTATCCTCTTCTCCCATCTCTTTCTTTCTATTCTCTCCTTTTTCTGATGAGAAATGAGATTGTGTTGTGTGGGAAGGAAGATATAAAGTCCTACTCTCTATCCGGCAATTTGAGATAGAGAGAAAGAAAGACAGAGCACTCTCCGCGTGCCAACCGAGAGATCACAATAAAATATATTATACAGGCGCCCAGTTTATATTTACAAACTTTTTTGTTTACAAACTACATTATGTTTACTCGGGAGAACACTGGTTATACTATGTTCTCCCAGGAGAACATAGTGTAATTTGTAAAAAAATTCAAAAAAAATTTGTATCCCCATTATACAGATATTCAACAAAATGCTAAATAAATTACTACACTTACATACTTTTTATATATTTACAGATAATTCAACGACTCTAGTTAATAGAATGCCCGTGCCCCAGCACACACACACATATATATATATATATATATATATATATATATATATATATATATATATATATCGAATGTTTATAAATTACACTAAGTATGACCATACTTAGTGTAATTTGTAAAAAAAAATTACATATATATGGGGACACTTTTTCTGCAACGGCTACAGAGAACTGCTATCTGTAGACTGCAACTGATAAAAAAAAAAAAGTGGACCCCAATGCTTTAGAAAAAAACCAGGATACAGAATCATATTCTGACTTGTTGTATATGCAGCAGCTGCAGAAATGATGTTGTCTATATATATATTATTTTAACCCGTGTGTCAGTTGCAGATAGCAGCTCTCTGCAACTGCTACAAAAAAAGTCTCCTCATATATATATTATTTTCACTACTCTTTAATTATTGTTAAATTAAATTTAGATTAAGAAATGAGATTAAAGATAAAGGAAAAAAATGATAATTGTTGTTCTAAATAAGATTCAAAGACAAAAGAGATTTTTTTTTTTTTTTTTTTTATAAACTACATATATCTCCTACGGGAAAAGCAATTATATTCGAGTTTGAAATATACATGTTATCATGGAAATAACAATAACTTTCTGACTAGGCTCTTATTTGGAATAGATAACTATGCACACGGGTTAATGAAAATAAATAAACTCATCCCACAGTGCTCATTATTTTTAAATTTGGCTTACTATCGTTAATTTGATGTTTAATATTTGTTCATAATGTTTCTTTAAAAAAATACCCACCGAAAAAATATTTCATTAAAAATAGTTATCTTAAATTTTTTGTTATATATAAATAGATTGATAACATATTAATTCATTACATAAATATAATCATTGAAATTAAAAATTAAAATTTTTAAAATGGATTTCTAAAATGCTATCATAAATAATTCGAATGATTGTCCTCAAAAGTCATTTGCAGATAGCCTTTCTTATTAATTGTAGATTCATGGCGCTTTGCGGCTTTGGATCTTCGACGAGCCAAGGAAAAGGAATCATGACAAAAGTATGACACCTAACATTTTATATATCACTTTATTTAATAATGAAAAAAATTAAGTCATGTAAAAAAGTTGTTTAAAAGCAAATTTTTTTCTTAATAAAAAAAGACACTTTTTTTTTGGTGAGGAAAAAAGACACTTTGTTTTCTCACATTGGTACGCGAAAATCTCGATAAAATTTTATTATTTTAGTAATAAATATTGACAAGTGCTCTGTAAAAAAAAAACGTTGATAAGGGCTAACAGAAGAGAGGAGAAAAATGCTTTGTGGTTTTTTTTTTCCTATGAAAATAAACAAATGGATTAATGTCTAAATGTCTTGTTACTTAAAGCAAAAAAGCATTCTGTTTCTGGGGCTTAGCCCCTCTTTATTTACAAAAAAAAAAGCCAAAAAGCAAATGAGATTATAACATGTTTTCATTATATTAAGGAATATGTTATTCTGCCTATTTTTATTTTATCTATTTTTGTCTACCATTTTCAATATCATTAGATTACAATGTCATTCAATGGTGGAGATATACGATATAAAATAAACTCTTGTACCCCTTTTTCTCTCCCACTACCTCTCATTCTTTATCTCTCCTTCCTTTCTCTTTCTTCAATGGCACTTTAGCATAAAAAAAAGAGGCGGGATATTTTGACTACCAAAAATGTTCACTACCACCTTACTACCTATCAAATCATCATTGGATCAAAGAGAGAGAATGTTAAAAAGTTTTTGAAGAGAGAGAAAATGTTAATCTAATGGTGATTAGATAGGTAGTAAGGTGGTAGTGGAAATTTTTGGTAGTCAAAATATCCTCCCTCTCAAAAAAAAGGTGCAAGTTTTTTTCTCTTCATCCAACTCAGTCATTGTTATGAGCATTTACATAGAAAATTGAACTAGAGTGTCAAGAAGAAATAAACTCAGATGTCTCATGTTATAGAACTAGGTAGGCCTGTTGTAGGGCGTAACATGGAGAGAACATAGATCATTTTCCCACTTCAAGATGAAAAACAATATAAGAAGAAGGAGATAAGTTGATTTGTTTCAAATTTTAACGGCAAAGTAGAAACGTTACAGTAATCGTGGATTAATTCAAGTGAAGAGTTATTCGTGCTTTTCGTTTTTTTGTAATTTTGTGATTTCTGTCGTGTTCAATTATATAAAATTTAAGAAATTTTGAAAATTATATTCATCAGGCAAAACTATCATGCCATTAATCATTGCATGAACTTATATTCAAATATAAATTCAGGTTGTAAATTACGTCAATCGATAGAGAGAAATGGAAGGAGAGAGAAAGAGTGTGAGAGACACTGAGGAGAAAGAAAGGAAAAAAGATTTATTTTATTCTGCAAATCTACACCGTTGGATGAGATTGTAATCTAATAGTGTCGAGAGAGGTAAACAAAAGTAGAAAAAATAAGAGTAGACAGAATAATCAATCCCTTATATTAATAGGAAAAAGTTATAGTTATTACTTTTTTTCTTACTACTTATTACTATCAAATTTTAACCGTTAATTTCCGTCAATCTAACGATTATAATTCATTGGATTACATTTATTAATTAATTATTAATTTATAATAAATTATAACCGTTAAATTGATGAAAATCAACGATTAAGATTTGATAATAAAAAGTAATAAGAAAAAATATAATAAGTATAACCTTCCCCGTATTAAAAAAAGTAAAACAAAAAACAAAAAAGCAGTATCACGTGATGGTATACTTGATTACGACTCATTTGTTTTGAGGAATAAAAATAAGGAATTAATTTCTTTTTAATTTGTAAGAAATAAAATTATTTCTTATATATTAATAGATACATAAAAGTATATGGATCCATATTTTTTTCTTTTATTTTCACATGGATTTCATATATCTTTATGTATGTGTAAGAAATAATTTTATCTCTTATAATATGAGAAATATTAATCCCTAAAAATAAATATGTGTGAACTTGAAGGATAACTATTTTGCACCTGACTAGGATCTACGTTTAAGCGCAAAGTTTTTTGACAAAGCAAAAATAGATATCAGCAATCTAAGTGTAATTCATGAAATTTTATACTAAACAAAAATAAATTAAATAAATATTATATTAGTTGAAAAACTTATAAATTTAATATTTTTAAGATTTTAAGTTGAGATATAATTTTGTAATTCACTTATGATATAAAAATATGTAAATTAGTCCATTTTGATGAAAGATCTCTCCTGAAATGGATTTCCCTTTTCTTTTTTCTTTTTTGTTTCAAACTTCCCTTTTTTTTTTTTTTTGATAACATCAAACTTCCCTTTTTTTACCCAACGGCAGATAACTTACAATTTCATACCGCGCGTGTACAAATTTCTAATTGCCAAAATCAAAAAACACAACCTCCGAATCGACGGTGACATCTCGTTTAAGGGTGTGCATGACAATCATTCTATTCCATAGCACTGTTTTTTTTAAAAGAAACAATTTTTTTTTATTTATGTGCTTTGGAACAGTTTTTGAGGGGGGAGGGGGGGGAAATGTGTTTGATAATATGTTTTATTTTTATTTCGAGAATGGAAATTGTGTTTGATAATACAATAAATAATATAATAAAAAATAATTCCTATTAAATATAAAAAAATTCAGATCATCACTTTCCTTTTCTTATGGTGTGGTTGTGATGGTAGTGGCGGCAGGGGTGGCATGGTGGTGGCAGCGGCGGCAACGGTACGGTAGTGGTGGTGGCAGTGACGTGGTGATGATAGAGGTGGTGGTTGTGACGGCAGTGGTTGCGGCGATGGCAGAGGTAATGGTGGCGGCAGCGATGGTGGAGGTGACGGCAATGGCTGCGAAAATGGTGGTGGGGATGGTGGTTGGTGGCGTATGTGGTGGGCGGCGACAATAATGGTAGCGGTGGCATGTGGTGGTGGTGGTGGCAGTGGCTGCGACAGTGGTGGTAGGTGACAGTGGTGGTGGTGGTGGTGGTGATGACGTGGTGATGGTAGTGGCAGAGGTGGTGTAATGGTGGCGATAATGGTGATGGTGACGGTAGTGACTGTGACGATGGTGGTGGTGGTTGGTGGCGGCAACGACGACGGTAGTGGTTGCGGCAATGGTAGTGGTGGTTGTGACAATGGTGATGGTGGTAGTGGTGGCGATGGTGATGGTGGTGGTGGTGGCAGTGGGATGGTGATGGCGGTGACGGCAGTGATTGCGACAATGGTGGTGGTGGTGGTGGTGACGATGACGATGATAGTGGTGGTGGTGGCAGCGGTGGTAGTTGTGGTGGTGGTGACGGTGGCATGGTGGTAGTGATGGGCGGCGGTGGCATCGTGGTGGTGGGGGATGGTGACGAGCGGCGGCGACGATGGTGATTATGGAAGTGTCGAGATGATGGTGGTGGTGATGATAGTAGAGGTGGAGAGTGATCGAGAGAGATAAGTGTTTCTCATTTTGTGCTCGAGAATAAAAAAATAGAAATTTTCTGATTCTTTTTTCTGTTCCTCGTCACAAAAATGAAACGGTTCATCCGGGAATAAAAAAAATAAACCAATTTTACCAAAAGAATTTTATATCCATATCTATTTCCGATAACAGAAATTAAAAAAAAAAATGATTTCAGAAAAATTGTCATGCACACCTTAAGTGAAATTTTTTTAAAGTGGACCACTCCATTTTCCCTAAACAAATTT